TGCATCACTTTCTTGCAAAGCGAAGTAAACAGCGAGTGTTATTGAAGCATACAAACGAACTGAAGGAATATCCCAAGAAAAATCCGGAAAGCAATCTCTCAAATATGAAACATCTGGAATGACAGAACTGTCCTCGGCACAGAACTGAAAACGACGATAGAGAAAATGTTGAAATACGCAAATTACTGAGGGACGTTTCAGTCCATCAGGGCCAAAAATGAGATCAAAGAAACAGAAATGAGGCGGAACCGATGCGGGAAACGATGTTGGCGTACCATCGGAAGATTCATCGGAAGAGGCAACGGAGAGAGTACGTCGACTCTTAGAGAAGAGGTCGAGATGCTCGTCAGAGTCCTTGGAGATTCCGTTTAAGCTTTGACCACGGCGATGATGCTGCTGCAGCGATCCGACTGGAAAATTCCTGGCCGAACAGGGAATCGCGCCCATTCCGGCTGCTCATGGTAACTAGAGTGAAGCAGAGAACACCGGAATGAGTTGTCTCCGATGAGGGGGAGATCGAGGAACAGGAGAAGCAAGAGATGAGGAAGTAATAGAGTGAGCAAGGCAACCAGAAAAAGAGTTTTCGAGGGGAGGGAGAGATTAGATTGAGGTGGTTGTTTGTTTATGGAAGCAGCATTGAAATAATTAAACTGAAAGTGCACATTGGTAGTTTCTTTCTCACGTTCTCTTGCGCAGTGACCCCATTTCTATTGGGGCTCGCTAGCTAGCTTGGATGAATCAAGTAAATCATACAGATGCCCACATGGCTACGTTTTTGTGGGCCACGTCTGCACACTTACTTTTGCTTCCCGAAAACTTTGACACCATCACTCACCCAGCTTCTCCCCATGTCACATGGGAGCTTCTTACGCCATTTAATTTTCCTGTCTGATTAGTTAATAATTAATTATTGTGAGAAAATCATGCTATCATAGCTATTCTCGAGTCATAAATACGACAGCCACTTTGGTTTTTTAATTACTTGAACCCTTCAATTTTCAATCTTTAATGTGAACAATTCATTGAATATAAATTGCACGAGGAGAGTTCTGCTCCTGCAAATGTCGCATCCGCCATGGATTGCCTTTATCCAAAGACACAAAAACTTTTGGCTATGGAAAGGTAAGAGAGAAGGAGAGGCTTTGATGGCTTGAATTTGAGGCATTCGACATCACATCATTGCCAAATACGAAAGGAGGGCAAGCGTTGCTTCTTGTAATATCATTTTTAAGGTGGATTAGCAAGGGACGTTGCAACCACCGTTAGCCAAAAGGGCACCACCTAATTTCCTTTTCCGGCGAATTAAGACATGGGTAAGTTTATGAATAATAACATTTGAAGTTTACATTGTATTTTAAAAAACAAGGTGGTTGAAATTTGAAATGCCTGGCGAGAAATGAATAAGTGGGTGAGGGGATGGAACAAGAAATTATGAGGTGGGACCGAGAAGGAAGCAGAATAACGGGACTAACAGGTAACAAGGAAGTGAGTGACAGACACGTGATGGATCCGCACATCTCTGCAAGATACATATTAAAAGGATCTGGATGGATTGGTTTTAATTAGATATTAAAAGGATCTGGATGGATTGGTTTTAATTAGAGGTAGCCGGGGTCTATATTATGATTCGGTATATAAATAAAGGAAAAATTACCCACAAGCTCCAAACACAATCTCTTGAATTTCACTTATTACTAAAAGTAATTTGAATTATAAAGGAATAGACTCCTATACGCCTACTAATGATGAGACTTCACCAGAATATGCCCCCCCGTGTCTAAATAAAGACGCATGAAGGAGTGGACCTGGCTACCATCATCTTCTCCAAAAGCGTGGGCTTGTTTCCAAAGAATAACTGGTAAGAACTTCCATTAATCCAGCACGTCTCCATCTCCTTCTCTCAATTTGGTTTCTGACCGGGCTATGGGAAAAGGGGGTTCACTTGTTTGATGGGTATCCGTTGACGATGAGAATGGGCTTTAAAGGGTAGCATGTGGAAGAAATTAATATGGAGTAGCTGTTGTCTAATGACTGATTTTGTTTGGTCATCTTTGCTTCATCATTTATCTGTGCGTCTTGTAAGGCTTGGGTTGAGCACTAACACGTGTAGGATTGGAGGGGCTTGCAAAATGATTGAATAGGGAGGGGCTTTTGATGTTTTGGAGAAGGCAGAGGATTTAAAGCATAATCAAGGAGGAAGTCTGTGTTAACATGGAAAATGCGGAAGCAAGGCCATGTTTGGTATGTGGCAATGGGAGCGTGGGACAGGGACTGGACCAGGGAATGAGGCAATCTATGATATTTGGCATGTGACATTGAGTAAGCCTTGGGATTTCACATGCCACATTGGTGGGACAAGCCCACATTTTTCTTCCTATATTGCATTTTCAATCCTGGGATTGAATATTTTCAGAACAAAATATCCTCATTTGTAATTATTTTCAGGCAAGTTTTATTTTTTCACTTTTGCACTAGTTGATCTGCTCTTCTTAAAGTTCTGAACTTGCCCCTCACTTTCACTCTCACTCTCTTCCATTGCTAGAGTTGCTGCCCTCTTTGTCTCCCTCTCTGCCACTCTGTGTCAAATGCAGCACCACCAGTAATTTTCACTCTCACTCTGCATTACTTGTGACGAACACGTACACATTCTTCTCCGTCACTTGATTCTGGATTTTGCTTCTCCATTAACTTGTTTCTTTTGTCCAAACAAACATACACAAATCTGGATGTCTCTTCTTATATTTCTACTGTCTTTTTTATTATTTTCTCTGCCACTCTTAGATTTGGGCTCTCAAAATTCATTCTAGTATTTTTATAATAAATAGACTCCCTTCAATAATAACAAGAAATTGAATGCGTGTTCCCCAGTTTATTTCAAAATCAATCCCACAAATCATTTATGCTAATATAAGATTCGATGTATAGAGTGGGAGGGAGGACAATGCGAAAGGGAGAAGATTCGATTATATTTCTACTGTCTTTTTTATTATTTTCTCTGCCACTCTTAGATTTGGGCTCTCAAAATTCATTCTAGTATTTTTATAATAAATAATAAATAGACTCCCTTCAATAATAACAAGAAATTGAATGTGTGTTCCCCAGTTATTTTTCAAAATCAATCCCACAAATCATTTATGCTAATATAAGATTCGATGTAGAGTGGGAGGGAGGACAATGCGAAAGGGAGAAGATTCGATGTGTGTTTTGTTTTTTTAATATTTGGAAGGCGCATTATTGTCTTTCCATAATTTGTATCTGATTTTAAAATAAAAATTAGTCGAGCCAATCCCTTCAAATATTACCCTGTACCAAATATAATTTTAAAGCATTATTCCCAGTCACATTTCCTGTCTCATTGCCAATCCCAACCCCTCAAATTCATCGTTGCGTACCAAACATGACTCGAAGTCACACGTCATCAAAAAGAAATCGAGCACTGTACATGCTAAATTTTGTATGTTTGGGTTGTAAACTGCATAAGATACTATGTAAACAATGGTGGGAACTGTGCACATCGAACATTGTTTTTTACATGTCAGTGGCGCGCGTGTCATATGGGGAGCACTACTTCATCAAAACATTTGCACTGCTATATATTTTCATATTGGTGGAGAAAGATGAATCACCATCGGGGAGGTCCAAAGGGAAAGGGAAAGGGAAAGTTATAAAGGAAGGCACGACGCTGCAATTGTTGAAAGGCTAGCTACTATAAGATCATGCACCGGTGATGAAGAATCAGTGATGAATTTGCTTATGCCTGCATTACTGGAGATGGACTTCATAATGCTAACTCAGTATATACCCACCAAAACCTACAACATACAGTTGAGCGATAAGTTGTTTTATATGCTTAGTTTTGATGATTTATGAGTTAGATCTTGATGTCATTGTTATAGCAGGATGTCCCAATAATCTAGTGTGTATGTTTTGGCAGAGCATCTCAAATTTGAACCAAACCGCTTCCACTCGCGGTTAGTAGTGTGCCTGTGCCGATGCCTGAGCTCAATTATGACAATTGTTCGACAGTCTTTTAGCGATGGGGCAAGCACTAGTACATGTACAGCGTATGCATTATCAGATAGAAGCCACTACATGCGTGTGCATACTTTTGAAAATGACCATGTTCGATCCACTCGGCACAAGATCTAGTTTCACTTTCATTTATTATCCTAAACCATATGAGCTCAGATGCTGATATATAAAAACTCTCACAGACATCAGTTGTGAGATTTTCAGATATTATTTATAAAGGGAAAGAGAGAACGGTTATGAGGTGCATGGGACGCCTAAATGGAGACGAGTTTCGGTGAAACTGATCATATTTAAGACTATCCAGATTTGATTTAGAGAGTTTAAAATTACTTTTTTTTTTTTAATTTTTAAATAAAAAATAATTTTTCATAAAAACAATATTTAAGTAATTATCATTATTTTACATTCTATACTCATCAAAATAATTAATTTTAAAAAAAATTAAAAATAAGAACGAAATTAAATCTGGACCATCCAAATCAGATTTGGACGATCTATATATGATGAGCTTAAGGTTCTCACTTCTCATCACTCTGATTAGTACCAAAACTGGACAATCCATATATGATAAGCCTAAACTGAATAAGCTTTAGTGCTTATCACAGTGATGAGTATTATGATATTTATCAAATCTTGAATTTTTTTTAAAATATTTTTTAATAGGTACATAATTTAAAATAAATATAATCTCATAACTATATTTTTTTAAAAATAAATGTTTAATTTAAAAATTACCAGTTAAAAATGTTAAATTTAAATCATTAAAATTGATTTAGATTTTACTCATCAGCACTGAAACTAGTTGCCATTCGAAAATGAGCGAAGCCAACCACAATCATGAAGAAATCCAATATCTACATGGTCAAGCACGCCTTTTGGCCCCCAAAAAGAAAAAAAAAACTGCATGCTCAAGCAAGCCCCACCCTAAAAACGAAAAAGAGAAAGAAAGAAAAAGCCAAAAAAAAAAAAACAAGGTTAAAATGGAGCTGGCCAGCGCCCATCGGAAGGTGCAAGAGGCCGAAAGTTGATAGAAGACGAGGAAAGAAGGCGTATCGCGGATCTTACCAAGGCTATCTTGGATCTTGGTCATCTGAGCTTCGTGATCAGTGGAGTAGTGGGTTTACTCATTCTTAGGCTTGCTTTCCTAAACCCCTGCTGTTTCTTTCTCCGGATAATCAAATTTTCTTCGTAAAAGTTTTTGCCCTAGTGTTTTGCCTTGTATAGTTAAAATTTTGGTGGCCACTCCCAATAAATAGGTTTTCCAATTGATTTTAACGAATCGATTTATTCTCTCCCTCCTCGCTCCTTGCGGTTGCATTCGCGCTTTACGGTTTTCCTTCAATTTCTTCAGCTGTTGTAGCAGTGCGTACTGCTGGAAATTTATAACTTCCAAGGCTATCAGGGTGTATGATAGAGCGCTGAAATTTTACTGCCTTCCAGTGATCTGCATAATGCCTGGGAGATGCATGCTGTGCATCTTGTGGCAAACACATCTCAACCCTTAATTTTGTGTAATCATGTCCTTCATTTCTCCTGGTCTCTCCTTACCAGACTCTCCTTCCTCTACAAAGCCCAGACCTAATAGCCCCATTCCCATTCGTCTCTCTCGCCTCCAATGAACTCATGCTTTCTATGTCATGTTGTCTTGAAATTTTTAAAATTGAAACCATTGTTCGCTGAATCCATTCTCTCTTTTCTGTTTGAAGCTCCATTTGCGGCCCTCCTTTGCTGAGCTCATTTGTGATTATCTCCCCTGGCTCCAACCCCTAGTCTTCCGCCTGTCCATCATTTTTCTTCCTCATTTCTTTCCCATCATCATTCTGTGTTTGTATTATTATTCTATTCTGTCTAGTTTTGGAGTTCAATTTGGGATAACTCAAAATCGTATTATCTTGCTCCTTCCTTTTGTTATTGTAATTGGAGATTTAGATTACTTGTTTGATTGTGTTAGTTTATGGAGTAATGGTTTGAGTGAAACTGTAGACATTTCTAAAAGTGCAATACGAAGATGTGCCTAATGTCTTGGACGTGAAGCTTAATCTTACTCCATACATGATGGCTCCTTGTTTTTATATTGGTACTTGAGTTGTCATATAACCAATCCGAAAATTGCAGGTTTTTCTATCCTCTTCTTTCTTATAAATCTTAAGTTCATGCATGACTACTGTAATAGCTTTAATCTTCGAAAGCTTTTGTGCCAATCTGGAAGGCATCTGGCATTTCAACCTCAAACTTAGTAGTAGTAATTCAGAAGCCAATAAGGATTTCTATGTATGTATGTGATGGATGTATGCGACAATAATCCTTGTGGTGGTGGAGATGCTATTTTAAAATTTAGTTTGATTTCCAAGTTCTGTTTAGAGAGTTTGACAATAGTCTGACTTAACGTTAATGCTGTTGTTGAAGGTTGAAACAACTCAAAATGGGTAGAGAGAAAGGTGATGGAAGAAAGAATTGCAGCAGCAGCAGCAGTTGCCCACATCCTCAGAACAAGCGCCAAAGCGGTGACTGTATAGGGTACCTCCCTGAAGATACGTTGATTGATATCCTCACTTGGCTTCCTGCTGAATGCCTCCTTAGCAGTGCAAGGTATACTTGCAAATATTGGGCTACCCTGATCCGCAGTTCTACTTTTGCTGAGAAACAGCTCCTCCGGTCAAAACCTGGTATTTTCCTTCAAAGCACAAAGCGTCCATACGGTGCCCAATTCTTGGAGGTTAAAGATAATGGGGAGTTTGGCGTGACTACTTTAAATCCTGATTTTCCTGGACGTTTTGTGAACAGTTGTGATGGCTTGATCTTACTCTACGAAAATGCTACAGGAGTTCTTCATGTTACAAACCCTGTTACCAAGCGTTGTGTTAAGGTTCGGCCCATGTTACTCAGTCCCAAGCTGATATATCCTCCATGTGCTATAGTGCGTGTTCCTCGCACTGGGGAATTCAAACTGTTTGCATCTCTTGTCCGAACTGAGTCTGAAGTTTGTTATAACCACTGGCATGTTCTTAGACTTGGGAAACATTTTTCTTGGGAAAAAATTGCTGTAGAACCCGGTGATTTTAAGTTCAGATGCAGCCCAATTTACACCGGAGGCAATGAACTTTACTGGATTACAGAGCAGCGAGTGATTGTGATGGATGTCGATAAGGAAACATTTCGGCAGTTTCTGCTTCCACAAGGACCTCATCGATGGCATCCACAATACTTGAAGATGGAGAATCTTCTCGCTTCCATTATCTTTGTGGGAGGAGAAGGATTTCAAATGCACATATTTGATCCTGATTCGGGAAAATGGACCCTCCATCATGAGATGAAATACTTGGATTATCCTACGGGCGGCATTGAATTTCTATCAGAATTTTTCGCTGTGTGGATCAACCAAGAACTGATTATTAAACTAATACTTCTACCCACTTTGAATACATTATTCTTCAGTTATGATATGAAGACAGGAGGAAGGTTAAAAAAGGTTGACGCCATCCAGGAAGGTTCATTTGATGTCGGTCTTCATGCCAATAGCCTCGTTTCGTGGAAGAATACCCTGCCGTAGTCGAGCCCGCATTCCTGACCCGCTGACTGATGCTTTCCTCGGAATATATGTATTTTCTTTTTTAATTTTTGGGCTTATAGTGCGACTTTTATAGTACTTTATTATGTGTATCTTGGTTTTAATAAGATGCTGAGAGGAGAGCACGTTGTTCTGCATCCAACACAGCTGAATATTATCGTCTAACTGTTTTGATCATGAAATTATGTTATTTTCATGCTATGCAACTTACTATTTTTAGTTTTTGATCCTTATCATGTTTGTTATAAGATTTCTATTTTATATTAAATTAGTGATTGAGTGCTCGGTGCAAAAAAAAAAAATCAAAATGATGCGGGAAAAAATGTGTTGTTCCATCTAAATTCTTTGCCAGCTTCACTTAGGGTGTGTTTGGTATGAGGGATTTGGAGGGGAGGGGAGGGGAGGGATTTTAATCATTTTCCCTTATTTGGCAACACACAAATTTTAGGAGGGGAGGGAAAATTTTTTAAAATTTCCCCTCCCCTCCCCCCCTCCAAAATTGGGATGATTTGGAGGGAAAAGGCAATATTTTGTCATATTATGACCATTATGTTCATATTTTGTCATGTTGTGACCATTATGTTTATATTTTGTTATGTTGTGACTATTATGCCCACGCCTTAAATAAAATAAGAGCAAAATTGTCCATATTAAAATATTTTTCCCTCCCCTCCCCTCTTTTTTTATAAATCTAAACAAGGTGATATTAAAATCCTTCCACTCCCCTTCCCTCCCCTTCCCTCCATTAAAATCCCTCCTCTCCCCTTCCTCTCATTGAGCCAAACATACCTTTACGGATTTAATTCCGTTGCTGCTTGGAAATCATGGCTTGCTTTTGCTCGACAGCAACATGGAAGGTGGGGTGGGACTGACAAGTTACTCTTGCCAGACTTGGTCCCATAATATCGTTGAAAGGTCAAAAAGGGGATTAAGAACGGACGTTGACTCCTCTCTCCTTGGTAAGAAAATACGAAATACGAAAGAATTATTTACACCCACTAGCTAGTTGATTGTGATTGAATGATAAAGATAATTTATTATTTGATCAATACCCAAATTTTTCAGTAAAATAATGATCGTGGCCTTGTTTATTTCGATTTAAGCAAAATTCCGTTATTTATCATGTCGATGCGGATGAACAGACGCGCTGAAATCATTGCGACAAAAATATAAATACAAAAGGAAGGAGAATGGGGTATTTCCTTCTCATTGCAGCGAAGCTTACGCTTGGATGGGCATTGAAGGCCTCATGTATATAAGACAGTGGGGAGCTGCGCACTCAGTGCCATCAGCAACTGGTTGCATGATATCAAATTACAATTGCATGCGGAGAAGACATTGAGTGTTAAAGAATGAAAATAGGAAAGGTTGGTAATCACTGTTGGAAGGAGGAGGAGGAGGAGGAGGAGGAGGGGTACTGCCTGAGCTGGAGGATGGCGGTAGAGATGAACAATGCGGGGCCGTGGAGGAGGGTGCCGGAGCGGTGCTACAGGCACGTGGAGAGGTACATGATGGATGGGCAGTACCGGCGGGACGTGGAGATGATAAAAGAGCAGATATTGGAATACGTGAAGGGGATAGAGGTGAGAGCGGGAGGCAAGGACGGGTGGGTCATGGATGTGGACGACACCTGCATCTCCAACCTCGCCTATTACAAAGACCATGCTTTTGGCTGTGAGGCCTTTGATTCCGCCCAGTTCAAGCAGTGGATCACGAAGGCCCAGTGCGAGGCCATCCAGCCCATGCTGCTGCTGTTCCGGCAGCTGCTAGGCCGGGGATTCAAGGTCTTCCTCATCACCGGCAGAGATCACGCCCGCATGGCCCACATCACCTCTCTCAACTTGCAGCGCCAAGGTTTCATTGGCTACCACCGCCTTCTCTGTAGGTATATCATCTCCTCTCCGATGATCCATATATATCATTTTCATTATTGTGCTCCAATTTTATCATTTAATTTTATTAGTAGTCAACATTTCAACGCACTAGCTAGCATGCTCCTCATAGCTTCTCCGGTTTCAAGTCTTCATTCAAAGCCATGTGTATGCGGGGGAACTGAGCGAGTGAGTAGTCCGTAATAATTATCAAGTCAACGCGCATGCACACAAATACAATATTAATTGTCCATATATATATGTATGCAGACAAAACAAGATGTCGTATTTGAAGATTATGAATTGAACTGGTAGATCGTAGGTAATAGTGATAGCTTCTCTTTTGAATGAAATCATATAAACAGGATGATAAATTATTTACATGTATGGTGGCAGGGGTGAGGAACACAAGGGGGAAAGTGCGGCAAAATACAAGTCAGAGATGAGGAGGAAGATAGAAGGAGAAGGATATAAGATATGGGGCAACGTGGGAGACCAATGGAGTGATCTGCAGGGTTGCTCTGCCGGCCATCGTACTTTCAAACTCCCCAATCCCATGTATTGCATCCCTTAAATCTTCAACCAACAACTAATTCCCTTCTTTACCGTCCTTCAATTTTAACTGAGACTCACATGGGATCCATCGCCTTCTTTGACATGGCATGCATGCATCCGCCTTATACATGTCGTGAACAAGTGTTTGTAAAACCAAGACTAGTACTGTGATTTTGGCGTATCTCGCTATTAAGAACCTTCTGCAGGTGCAGCACAAGTTTGAGTGTATAATACTACTACCTCCGGTATTAATTATAAGAGCCAGTTGACTAATTTAAAGAGATTAAAGAAGTAAGTTGAGTTAGTTATTTGTCCTAAATAGATGTTGTTTTTCCTAAAATATCCTTACTAATAAAGTGTATTAACTAGAACTATAATTATTAGAAGGATTATCTTGGAAAAAATTGAGTAAATATGAGAGACAAAGTGAATTGGAATCTTATATTTAGGATTAAAATAAAAGTCAAACAGGATCTTATATTAAGGACCGGAGGTAGTATCGATTTCCTTGCCTTTTTTTTTGTTGGCAGATATATAATTTTTTATACATGAAATACTTCATTTTGTCGTATATTATATTTTGATTAATGCTTATCCGCAAAATTCATATGTACAAACATTATGATTACATAAAAAGTTATAATTGAACCCTATATTAATGGAACCCTATATTTCGTTACCTTTTTACGATCCCATCTGCCGAATAAAACATTTTTCTTCATGTAATTGATAATTTGATATCTTCACCAAGCTTACACCTCATGACTTCCATAAGCCCCGTATGGAATTGTGGATTAGACTGGTTCAACATCCAGCTCCCTGAATATCGCAGCTGACTAATATTCTTATGGACGAAAACCTAACTAGCTACCTTCTTCTCCGTCCCTCTCCTCCTCCAGTTTTCCCCTCATTAATTTTTTATTTATTTGTCATCATAGTTTACGCTTAGATTTTGAAACACAGTTTAAGGGCATAATTAATTATCAGAAAACAATATATAAATACGCTTCCCTTCTCACATGCACTTGAGAGAGTTGGGAGTCTCAGGAGTGAAAAAGAAAAAGAAAACTAATAAATACATACATTGATCGTGTTGGAAACTACTTTCTGCTGGAAAAAGAAAAACAAAAAGGAAAGATGAACGACGCAGATGTGTCAAAGCAGATCCATCAGATGATCAGATTCATTCGCCAAGAGGCTGAGGAGAAAGCTAACGAGATCTCTGTCGCTGCCGAAGAGGTGTGTGTATTCAAAATTTACATATGTATAGCAATAGCAGCGGAGATTCTAACTTGATATTCAAATCACGATATGGCAGGAATTCAACATCGAGAAACTCCAATTATTTGAAGCTGAGAAGAGAAAGATCAGGCAAGAATACGAACGGAAGGCCAAACAGGTTGACATTCGCAAAAAAATGTGAGTTCTTCTCTTCATTCTGGTTTCCATACCATTTGCGTGTGAGTGTATATAAATGTTGAATAAGATTTTTACATTTTAGAACATATTAAATTAAAATATTGGTAAAGAACAAGCATGCAAAGCAAATGTAGGTAATGGTGTAATTAAATAGTGCAGTGAATACTCGATGCAGCTGAATGCATCGCGTATAAAAGTACTTGAAGCACAAGATCAAGTGGTGAATTCCATAAAGGAATCTGCTATCATGGCGCTTTCGCGGATCTCTGATGATAAGAAAGTGTACAGAAATCTGATGAAAACGTTGATTGTCCAGGTATTAGCACGTAGTCGTACGTACAGTAATTAGTTTTGTGGCTTGAGGGAATCAAATCAGCAGATGAAGGAATATACTACATTATAGTTGCTTGTTGCAGGGTCTGGTGCGGCTTAGGGAACCGGCAGTGATACTGCGGTGCAGGGAGGTTGATCGGAAGCTGGTGGAGTCGGTGGCGGATGAAGCCAAAAAGGAATATTCAGAGAAAGCTAAGGTGCAGCCGCCAAAGATCACGATCGATGAACGAATTTATCTGCCTTCAGCTCCCAAATCCGGCAACTCGCACGAACCTTCCTGGTACGTTGTTCGGTTAGTTGAAGCATGACTCAGCATTACTTGTGAGTTTTAAGAGAGTAATAATTGAGATTGGGCTGTGTGCGTTTGAAATATGAAGCTCCGGAGGAATAGTATTGGCATCGGAGGATGGCAAGATTGTGTTGGAGAACACCCTTGACGCAAGGCTTGATGTCATTTTCCGCCACAACCTCCCTCAGGTGTATCTTTTTCCCTTCCATTTTTATTTAAACAGAGTCACTAAGTATTTGGGAAAATCACGCAAAAATGATTCCTAAATTTCAAAATCCCCAGATGGTGACATAAATAAGCAAAATTCTAGTTTATGTATAGATGACTAAATTGAGATATGCAAATTTACTGAAATGATCACATTGTTTTTTTTCCCCCTTAACAAAACCAAGCACCCTTACTGCCCTACCAGCCACCGGAGTTTCAGTGCCAGCGGCAGCCGCCAAAGTTCAATTAGGCTGCTGTCATCGAAGCTTCGATGGTCGGCATATATATTTTTGTGTGTAGAGATTTTGTTAATTCCAGTAATACAATTAACAAGTTCTTTAAAGCTATTAACAAGTTTGATATAATAGTTAACAACAGGTTTTTTAGCAAATTTAACATGTGGCATGTTTATAACTTCAATAATGAGATTAACAAGTTCTGTAACGCTATTAACAAATTTGATATAGCAGTTAATAACAATTTTTACAGGAAATTTAAAAGATGACATTTTTACAACTTTAATATCGTGATTAACAAGTCATGTAACGATATTAACAACTCTCATAGTGCTATTAACAAAATTTTCCTATCAATGTTGATCTTTTTAATATTAGCTCCTTTTGAAGGTTATACAACAAAATTTTCCTATTTATTAGGCAGTCATTATGATTACAAGAGTTGACAACATCATTACATATTCATTAGAGTTGTTGATGGCGTTATGAGAGTTGTTAATGTTATTACGTGATTTGTTAACCAAGTTACTAAAATTATTAAAATGTCACTTTTTGAATTTCTTAAAAAATATGTTGTTAACTGCTATATTGAACTTGTTAATAACATTATAAAATTTGTTAACCACATAGCTAAAGTTATAAAAATGTCACTTTTTGAATTTTTCTAGAAAACCTATTATTAACTGTCATACCAAACTTATTAATAACATTAAAGATCTTGTTAATCGCATTATTGGACTTAAAAAAATTCCCCAAAAAATAAATGTCAGTTGTTGGAGTTTTGGTGATTGGCGGCCCACCTAAACTCTAGCGGCTGTTACAGCACTAAAGCTCTAGCGACTGATCGGTAAATTAAGGTGTTTGGTGTTTTTTAAAAAAAATAAAATAAAAGGCAATTTGATCATTTCAGCAAATTTGCAAATCCCTATTTGATCACCTACACCTAAACTAAAATTTTACTTATTTAGGTGACTATTTGGGGATTTCATTATTTAACTATCATTTTTCTGTCTTTTTCCCTGTATATTTTTGGTCTAAGTATAACAAAGAAAAATTCAATAACCCAGCAAGTCTTATTTCTACCTTGTTTCTTCACATGGGAATGCAAATTCAAATATTTAATATGATAGCAATTAATACAATAGCTTGTATGTGTAATCAATGGATTCGTTTTTAATAAAGCAAAAAAAAAACCGAGAAGAAGAAGAAGCTATTTTCATTAGACAGTAGTAGAAGGTATGTTTCGTGATATATATGTGAAGGGCTGAACATAAAAGTGGATACTTCTGGAATGAAATACGATATATTCAAGTATCTTAACCAAAGTATTAGTTCTCCAGTAGGAAAGCATCCAGCTTATTGTGAATTGGTGACTCTGGTTGCAGATCCGGAAGCGCATTTTAGGTTGAAGAGACCATGCATGGGAATTTGAGGAATGGCAGGGATAAGACAATCCTTGTTGGACACCTTTACTTTAATTCTTCTTGAGCTAGACCTACCAAACCATGTTAAAAACTAATTTGTTTTTGCTTCTGCCTTACAAGTTGCCGTTGCCTGCTTCTATACCTTTTTTCCCGTTGGGAAAAATCTCTAGACTGAAATCAAAACATGAAAATAACAACACGAAGCCTTATGTTACATTTCATACAAAAATCCTTCAAAAAAGGAAAAAGGGAAAAAAAGAAAGAAAGAAAGAAATCCTTCAACATGTATAATTGACCTTGCCCCATCCCCATGGGCGTGCAAAAAAACTTTTTTTAAAAAAAAATTAGATACTTAACTTTACATGCTTAAAGTATTGTTTTCAAATAATAATAATAAAAGAAAAAACAACAGTTCAGGCCAACAATAAAATAAAAAATAGAACTTGTGGGATTCCCCCCAACCATCACTCTCATATGTTGATGGATTATTAGCAACTCATTTGTATGCTACAATATAAATAAAAACGCTCGTGTTTAGGCAAGCATAATGAGGTAGTCCTACCGTCATAATATCTGAGTCAAGATCCAAAATGTCATCTTGAGCGCAGAGAATGGATTCAGGTATTTTCAGCAGATGAAAGCGTGTGTGTGTGTGTATGTTAATTGTAATTCATATATGGTGAAAGGAAAGGCTGGGGCAAAACTAACGTACAATAATGATGAGAAACTCTAACTAGCGGCTCATTTACAACTATGGTGACCTGAAAAAAGGACAACAAAGGAGCAATATCTAAGAGACAGAGTGCCTCCTATTCCTTCCATTTTTCCCCTCAGAAGCACGAGACTTTCTCCCAGATTTCTGCCTCTTTCCCCCACTCTGACTGCTAAAAATCCCGATTCTCCCGATCCCCTTTGAAAGAGAAGTGAAAAATGTTCTTCCATTTCCTGCTTTGTCCATCATCCCTTGCTTCATGAACGTCTGTTCCTTCTCCAACTCACTCAGCCTCACCCTCATCCTTGAAATCTCCAGCTTCAATTCTCTGTTCTCTCTCCGTAGAGAGGCGTAGTTGTCTCGGGGTGACATCGCTGCGCTTGGAACACCACTGCTCATTCTCTGGGAGAGGAAGCCATCTCCTCCTCCTGAACTTCCTGACAAGGCATTCTTCAGCCTCAGCTGCTCAAAGTACAGAACTTGCACCATCATCTGCAATGGAAGCCTGTCGTTCTGAGCTGCATGGTTAGATGCTTCTTGAGACAGCTTCTGGCAGTCTATGTACTTGCACAGCTTCTTGCATTCTTGTTCTGTTAGGGATGGATGTGCCTGAATAAGCAGAAAACTTAACGTTTGTTTGAAGATTCTGTGTCTTTTCTAAAGCTGCAGTGTTGCCAGTGCTTTTCTTGATTGAATAGAGTTTGGTAGTAATTTAAGAAGAAAGGAACAAACTGCAGCAAATTTATAAAATGAAAATTCTAGACTTTTTAGTTTCTCCATGCATTGTATAGAAAAGAAGAGTATAAGCGTTTGAAAGGACTTTATTTTGACAGAAAATTTTAAAAGCACCATAAGCAAGAGGTCAAACATAAATTAAAGACTTCATTCTAAAAAGAAGAGAGAGAGAGAGAAGGGCAAGAGCCACGAGATTTTCAAGCCAGACCAATTTTTTTTTTTTTTCCGGCCAAACAAATGGGACCTTAATCAACATAGTTTCTTAGGTTTTAAATGTGGTGACAAAAAAGGACAGCTTTCGTACTAATTTACCTTGAGATAAATATCAATAGCTCTATAAAGTCCATCATCAATAACCCGAGCATAATCTGGAAGTATCTCAATCAAAGCGATGAATTTCTGAAGACTTAAGTACGGATCAGGAGCAATTTCAGCTAAATAAGCATCAATAAGCCTCCCAACTTTCAATAGAGAACCATGGTCAGGAGAGCTTAACTCATCAGATTCATAACCACCACAACCTTCACTTTCTTCCTCTTCAATCTTCTGCAAGAAGCTCAGAAGTATCCTATGAACAGTATCCACATCAAACAATGAATCCCCACTCTGAACCACAGATGGTATAAGTAGATCATCTAGTGATACCATTTCTAACCTCAATGATATCCTCCTTTCAAGCTCAAGCCTACATGGAATTGTAGCACCCAACATGATTGCCATCTTCAACATTCCAAACAGAAAGGTCAGTGGGACATTCGGACAACTTTTGTTGTCTGTTGGCATTAGACTTACAAGAGTTTCCACAATTTCCCTCTGATTGTTTTCTACTATACTAGGACTAGGTTTAATCCTTGCTGGATTCCAAATCTGACATTTTCCAATACCCTTTAAGGAAGTCTGAGCATAATGCATCAGACAAGCAATGATACTGTCTGATTGAACCCCCATTCTCCCCATTGCACAAATAACTCTCTCAAAGAAATCAATACTCAGTATTGACAAATCTTCTGCCCACCACTCAATACAAGAACCATCCTTCAGTTCTTTGGATTCATTATTATCACAATCTAGTTGAGACAAACCCAAAACTAGCTGCTCCTTGCAAGCATTCATTGCAATGGCTTCCACACATCTATTTGTAATTTCCACATCCTCAGCTATTGTGCGTAACATTTTGCAGGTGGATAACACTTCCACTGACTTTTGAAGATTTTGAAAGACAGCCTCATTTAGGTAAGCTTCTGTTCTTGCTATAAGGTTTTGGTCCCGCAAATCTTCTGTCATTTCCAAGTATTCAGCAGCACAGCGAAGGCCAGCAACATTGTCAGTTGTAATCTCAAAATTCATGCCATAACAGAACTTCATGGCAAGTTCAAATGTTTGGTGTCCTCCTGGGAAGTTGTGGAGCTCCAAGTGGGAAATGTTAGTGCCCCTGGCATCAGCAACCATCTTTCTGATCTTCCCACTCAAAGAAACTAAGGGGAACTTCATATATGAGCACACAAAAAAAAAAAAAAAAAGTTAGTAAAGGATGTCCCTTTATTTGTCTGCATATTATGGATTTTATGATAAAAAGTTCATTGCATCCCAAAGAGTTTCCTATAAAGATGAGAGAACTAGTTTAAATCTTAAGCCATCGCAAAAACAATTTAGTATTGAGTATATGCAATTTAATGTAATAGGCAAAACAAGGTAGTAAAAAAAATTCGAAAGTAGTTATTTTTTCCGCCTTATCTTGCGAAGAGTATTTTACCTTATGCAGGAGAAATGACTCCCCGTCAACAACAACAGTAATGTCACCAGCAACATCAGCAAAAATTCTGCGTTAAAAAGAAATCGCCTATAAGAATTGTCATGTAAATCTATCAATAATGGAAAGCAGCAGCATCTATTGACTTCTCTTACTTCAGCAACACAGTGGAGAAAATTAATAGTGGAGTCTAATAATACCCCTTTTCTGGGGCCGGGGGTGGGGGGTTATATTATAGCGGTTTTTCTACCTATGTAATGATAGTGTGTGTGTGTGTGTGAGAGAGAGAGAGAGAGCAAAATTTTTTTTAAAAAAAAAAGAGAAACCAATAATTAACAACTCTTTCTCATAAATGAGTTGAACTCTGCTTTTTGACTATGCCCAGCGTCACAGATGTTTCATTTATTCCCTAATTGGTAAAACAGTACTCATTCGCAATATCTCAAGAGATAAAAATGACAGTGGTATTAACTTGTGTTTTTGGCTGGATTGTCTGACGAGCAAACCATTCGGGAAGTTACAGTTTTTGAATTTCCAAACAGCCAGTATGCAAGAAGAAGAATCAAGCTCTTAGACGGCTGATGCTGAAATAGCAGCAGTCTTGAGACTTTGGTTTTATAGACCGCAAATACAGGAGAAAGTGTTTCAACTTGCAAACACGCAATTTTTCTATGCTTCAGTTTCTTTGCGAGAAATGGAATTTAAACAATCGAATACGGATTCGCAACGTAACATGGGCTATTAGGAAACCAAAAACAGAAGAGTCAGGGCAAGAATGATTTCATAGAAAGAAGGAGAAAACCACGTGAAGGATGTAGAAGGCAAATGGCGATACGGAAAAGAAGCTAAAATTCGAAAAGAGCACATGAATACAAAATTGGAGACGGAAGAGATGCAGAGGATAATGAAGAAGAGAGAGAAGAAGTACCGAGTAGTGAAGGAGTTGGAGGAGTTAGGAGTAGATGGTGAGCGTTTAGAGGAAGAGAGGGAGCTCTCAGAAACCATGCTTGTGTGCGTTTGAAGAACAGGCTTTGCTCCCCTGCTATGCAGAGTAACTGGGGAAATTATTGAGTGAATGTCCTGAAATGCCCTCCTCCCACCCAATTATTCCGCGGTTATCCTTAAATGGCAGGTTTTGCTTCTTTTTACTTTTTCCTCTGCAGTTATTTGTGCGTTAAGCTGGCGCTCATGAATGCCATTTATATCATTTAAATGCACAAATTATATCTTAGGGATAACATTCAGTAATTAATTACTCCTCCGATCCTTAATATAGGACCCAATTGTTGAGTTGGTTTTGGTCTTAAATATAAGACCCATTTTTTATATTTATCATTTTTTTCTAAATTACCCTTATGGGTATTCCCTCAACCATAATCAAGTAGAAGAGGGAGATGAGGTATTAAGAAAGATGATTATAGTGTTTTAGAAAAAATATGTCACATTTCTTATAATTAACTAACTTACCTAACTTCCTTAATCTAATCAAATTAGTTAGATGGATCTTATATTAAAGACCGGAAGAGTATATGTATATGTAGTGCAGAAGCGCGAGGGAAGGAAAAGAAAAGAAAAGAAGAATGTGGGGGGACCGATGTGAGTCAGTCGACACGGAACTCTATAAAGACACAATTATTTGAGACACTCCCTTCTCTGCCTTGTTCCTTTTCTTTTCCCACTCTCTTTTTCTTCCTTAACTAAATCCACTTTCCCGTCCAATTGCCAGTGGATGACCATGACCGGCCTTCAAATAGAGTTTTTTGTGTGGCTAACTCTTCAAATAGATTTTGTGGAACATGAGACATCTCATAATTCCTAAACCCAGCCAAAGCATGTAAATCTTGTACCTCACTGCCCTTTTTGCAACTCCAATAATGAATCCATTAATCACATGCGTGATTCCTCGCTCCTTCCTTGCTTTACGACTGCATGCTCTTTTTTTTTCGGTGACATTTACGACTGCATGCTTTTCTCTGGCAAGCTCTCTACCCGATGCACAAAGGATTAACGCATTCCATTGCCAGAGTAACCAAATCAGACTCTATTCATTTTTCCCTTCTGCCCGTTGCTATTATTGAAAAGCTTGCTTGCAGACAGGTTGCCTTAAACAAGCTTGCTTTGGCAGATTGGCCCAACCCGTCGTCACATTTATTTACTCTTTTAATTTTTTTAAAATTTTTTCATACAATATATAAAAAATATAATAAAATTCTTGTATTTTTCCTTGAAATATTTCATTGAAAACACCAAATACTCCCTTTATCCTTTTTTTTAATAAGAAACAACCATCAAAATCATATGGTTCAAAGTATATAAGTTAAATTTAGTTAAAAATAATAAATATATAAGATATATAGATATTTTTCTAAGTATACTCTTATTTGTAAAGAGATTGTATGAGAGATAATAAGTAAAACTTTAGTGCAGATAAATAATAAATGGCATATGTTTAATGAGGATAAAATTGGAACGAGTGGTTTAAAATTTCAGACAAAAATAATTTTTTTTTTATATTTAAGAACACTTTTATGAGAGAAATTGTTTTTTGCCAAAAAAAAAAGGGACAGAGGCATTTAAAATTTTTCAAATTATGATATGATAAATAATAATATGATTATAATTACTTGACAGACTTGCCTAGCAATGTGGGCCGAAAAGAGCCGCTTCTAAGCATGTTCGATTTCGTCTAACCATTTTTGGCGGGTCTCTTCCAACCTTCACAATCCAACAAAAACCAATGTCTCAAATATCACACTGCTTTGCCTTTCTTCCTATTTTGCATCTGCAATCCCGTCTGCACCATCATATTCCTATAAGAAGTTTTCTGAAATATTTTTTCTAAATGTATTCAGTATCTTAAAATTTTTTTGATACCGGTGCTAGATGTACTAAAAAATATTTTTGGGTGTTAGATACACAAAAAAATATTTTAAAGTGTTAGATGTACTAAAAAAATATTTTACTGTGCTGAGCGCACCTAAAAAAAATTTCATGACGTTAAATGTATTACAAAATATTTAAAAATATTGGATGTATTTGTAAAAATATTTTGAGGTGGTAGATTGATGTTGTCTCATTACCAATTTATAAGTCTCAGGTATGATTACTCTGTTTAATTCAAAAATATACGAGCGCACGGTTGATCAACACGCGTGGGTAAAAGGGACAGGGCAGATTATCAGGAAAATCTCACTGCACCACCCTGTCATGGGAATTAATTAATACCCAATAGTTGTTCAAGAACTCCGGAACTTCAGGACATTCTTTGGGTCAAAATTAAATTAAATTATGTGATGAAAAGACATTAGCAGTCAACCTTCTTTTTTTTTTTTTTTTGAAAAAAGGTCAACCATCACTAGCCACCCGCCGATGGGCTGCCGTAGCACCGATCATTTGGAGAATAATTCTACAAAAAAGGTCGCCGGGGGGTTTCTCACATTTCTGTATCTTCCTAAAATATTTTAGAGAATTAGTATATTTTGCTTATAATAAATGTTAAATGATACTACCTCCTGTCCTTAATATAAGGTCCTGTTAGACTTTTATTTTGGTCCTAATTATAAGACCCTAATTCACTTTGTCTCTCATATTTACTCAATTTTTTCTAAGATAATCCTTCTAATAATTATAGTTCTAGCTAATACACTTGATTAGCAAGGATATTTTAGGAAAGACAACACCTATTTAGGAGAAATAACTAACTCAACTTATTTTCTTAATCTTCTCAAATTAGTTAACTGGCTCTTATAATTAGGGCCGGAGGTAGTATAATTTTTTTTGGCTAAAAATGTTAAATGATATACCTCAAATAATAAAATATGCTAATATTACCTCAAACTAAAAGAGGTAAAATTGACATGTAATTTGGCTATTGACACATGAGTGGAAAGGCCAAAACATAGACGTATGGCCAAAAGTAAATCACTAATTTCAAAAACTCTTTTACGCATTGTTGAACCACCCTTGCAAAGATTGGAAAAGCATGAAAGATCACAAAACTTTCAAAGTGTGGGATCAAACAGAGGAAGTTATTACTTTGAAATATGTCTTGTATGTTGTTGCCGTTGCAATAGCCTGCTAAATATGTAAAGATCTTCCTCTGTTTCAACTCTCAAGGTTTAGGCTTTTTTGGTAGTTTCGTTTTTTCTTATTCGTTGGAGGGTTTTGTTTCTATTTTTGCTTTTCTGGCTCTGATTAGTGTTTGTAATTTGTTTCCTTTAATGTTATTATCCTTCGGTCCAAAACAAAGCCTGCTAAATATGTAAAGATCTTCCAAAATGTTCAATCTTCTCGAGTGCACAGATTAAAGGTAGAAGCGTGTAAAGGTCAAATAATGTCAACCAAAATAAATCATATAAGATCCATTTTTCTTAATTTTGTATATGCTGTATTTATTTTGCCACAATTGATAGGAACCTTTATGTAAGATTGCCAATTCATATGTTTCTCTTTAATTGTATGCTTCTATTGTAGTTTAGAGTGAAACTGAATAATTGATATTTTGATTACGAAAATTAATCTTAAATTATAAATACAAAAGCCTAACTTAATAAGTGTAAATGGTTAAATTTGACTTATAAATAACACAATTATTTATAAATATAAAATTTTAAATATTAAATTCTTAATATCAATTAAATGAAATTCAGTCAACCTACGTGTGAAAAAAAAGAACGGAAAATTTTGGTGGTTCCAAGTTCCCAGCAAAAATCGTGGTGGTTACCCTCCTGGTCCAGAATGTTCAAGGTTAATAGGATGAGTGCGGAAGCATAAAGATATCCTCTTTAGGCTCCCAGCCACCTCTTCAACCAGAAAATGCTTACGCTCAATGCTGTCCGGCCCTCCTCGTGAGTTCTTCTCCTGTCTTCGGTTTCCGTTGTCAATTGTTTCTCTTTTGCAGTCCAGCTTCACCTGTTCCCACTTCTTAAATTCCTCTATCGTAAACTAATTTTAAGTTCAATCTTCGTAATATTGATGTTTACTGTGTATTTCCCGCCTCTTCACACTATTGTTATTTGGTTTGCCCCGCCACTGATTTAGCGTTGAGTTTATAGCGTCGAATGATTTTTTTCCCTGGGCCAACGTCTTAGTTTATATGTCGTAGGTTATCGGTTGTCCCCTTCTATGGCAGCTATCAAGTATCTGGTCAATTTTTAGTTCCTGCCAATCTAAATTGTTGGTTCGCAAGAGGTACGTTTGACTCGCCTGTCTGCGCAGCACAATAACATTAGCCACTGAACAGTTCCAGCATCTTATTTATTATTGTTAGCTGCATGGAAGCATCTATACCTTTTCCGTTTGCATTAATTAGTTCAGTTGATTGTAGGATACTTAATGTCGCCCTTTCTGCAGAATGTGCCATTCATTGCCTATCAGTCAAGATAAAAGTCTAAGTTAATACTGTTAAACTTTAATTAATGTGCCATTACACATTGGAGTTTAAAGAAATACTTCGACTGGATCTTAAGGCCATATTAGGACCTCTTCTTGAGTTGTTGTTTTTGAAATAACGTGTCTGCGAATTATGGGTTACTGCATTCCTAGAATGCCTAGCCTTTTCCATCTTGTCCCTTTGACTGGGTCTGGGACCTTCTTTCCTTGGGTACCACGTCTTGGACCAGGGCACAACAAGCATCAATGCCCCGAAGCCTTCTTCTTCTTCTGGCTTTCCTATAATCAGCCTTGTACCATCTATGCTTGTTCTGCTCTGACATGTAGGCTGCAGTGCCTTCTTTTCAGTAGTTTTTCCTGAAGAATTAAGTAGTACCAGAGAAGCAGGGTTAAATTTTGTTACTTAAACCTGCCAAAATACCTTGACCCTGGCATTGTCTCTTTCCATTGCAGCCAGTAGAAAGTCAGGACTTTTCAGCTCAAGACTGGATTCTGGGAATCAATAAAAACTGGGTACCTTCAATACACTACGCAAGTTTTCTTTTTTCTTTTTATCATCTGATGCATTTTTCTGCTTATGGATACCCCTTCTGTGAACTAAAATTGCATCCTTAATGTGCAGCATGTGATAAATGAAAGGTAAAGGGGCACTTTGTTGCCTAATGGATTTATGCTTGTACCATACAGAACATCTCTATATTCATGAGAAAAGGTTGATGTAGCACTTTATCTCTTGAAAACTGTTAAGCTTTGCCATCCAAAATTCAAACTGCTTGCAGATTTTGCCTACAGATCCTGAAAGCACTTCTACAATACATAACAGATTTAGCCTATGGGACCTAACTCTTCCATGTCATCTTCAAAGAATTTAATTTTGGAAAAAGTTTTGAACTTGCTTGTCAAGGATCATTAGCTATCTTTAATCATTTCCATCACCTCCGCCATTAGGCATTGTCTTTCACAAATCTCCAAAATCATGTTCTCATTATTATAGAGTTGAGATCAGGCCCTTCTTCTTCATTTCACCCTTATGGATTGGGGAAAAATTGTCCTTGTAACTAATTTTGATTGTCCTTAAATTTGCCATTCTGTTCTGTAGCCTTGGCGGCCAGATTTTTCACAATTTTGTGCATGTTTATTTCTATGCAGTTATTATAGAGCGTTTACAACATATGAATGTAAAAGGTTTTCCTTTATTAATAATATATGTGTTCCTTGCTGTTAAATGCAAAGACAGCCGACCAACCAGCTCATTTGATTATTAGTCAATCTCTAACATCAAAAGGCCATCAACTTTCTTCCTTTTAGATTGTTGAAGAATAACACAACACAAGTCATTGACTCACCCTCAACAGATGAAGACGATGATGATTCCCTGCCTCAGGAGTTTGTCCTTGTTGAAAAGACTGAACTTGATGGAACAATTGAACAAATTATTTTCTCTTCAGGGGGAGATATTGACGTTTATGATCTTCAAGCCCTTTGTGATAAGGTGAGTGTAAGTAATATTTTTTTTGTTGAATGTTGATGTAAATTTTTATGTAATAGCTAGTGATGAAAATGGGCTGGGTCATATTTAGTTCTATAAGGAAACCTGACCCAGGCTTGAACTTGGGCCCTTTCTGGAATAAGATTGAACTACACTGAGTCAGGCTTGTATCCTGGGTTGGACATGTCTTTTTCCTTTTCATTTTTGGTAGAAGTTATGCATTGACCTTTGGGAAAAAAGTTCATACAGTTTCTTGTATAATTGCAATTTGCTGGCTTGCCGCCCACAAAAATAAAAATTTTATGTAAGTTCCTATGAATATCTTTTTACCAAGGAGAGGATTGAGTCATGCTGGACCCTAAGGCCTGTCCATTGGCTAGCCCAGCGCCACAAAATCTCATTTGGCCTAGTCCTACCCATTTCTATAGGCAATGCCTGACCAAGCTCTCCATGTTCACACCTAGCATAACTACTGGTAAGAATGTTTTGAAGCCTATTCAATAACACACTCACAAATCACGTCTCGATAGGCTATATGACAAGATTTAGGGATTAGTTCTTATTTCTTTATTTATTTTCAAAAGTAGAATGACCAATATCTAGTTTAAGTCTGCTTATTTTTGCATTTCTTATTTACAAATATCAAATATTTTATTTTGGGATCTAATAGTGGAGATTTAAAGTTACCAAAATTATATTTTCCACTTTGTCTAAGTGTTAGTCAGTGGAACGAGTGATTTCGTCACTTTTTGCAGGTGGGGTGGCCTAGGAGGCCTTTGTCAAAACTAGCTGCTGCTTTGAAGAATAGCTATATGGTGGCCTCACTGCATTCCATCAGAAAGTCACCTGGCTCAGGTTCAGGTAAACAGAATATGACATCTGCCGTCTCTGCCCATTGAATCAATTAATTGGCTGAGCTTGTACTTTATGCTTGTCTGTATCTAAACTTATTTGAGGAACATCTTAGTGTACTTGGCGAAGTTATTTGACAGAGGAAAATGACAAGATGAAACTAATTGGCATGGCCCGTGCAACATCAGACCATGCCTTCAATGCTACAATATGGGATGTCCTCGTTGATCCTAGCTATCAGGTATTTTCCGTCAACTGAACATGGATTTCTCACCAAAGACTCTTTGAACAGTTATTGAAGGATTCACTTTCTTAAATGGAAAGTGCAAATTCTCTAATGCTTTTGTCTTGTATTCTAGGCTAATGAAGTAATTATAGTACAGGCTGACCTAGGATTATACTGACTTAGGATTATGTGTTTCTTAATGCATTGTTGCAGAGCACAATGCCAAGTGTAATTTGAATATAGCGGACAAGAAACCCTTTTTTTTTGTTGGGGGGGGGGGTACCTCTGCTCTTAATCATTGACCAGTGTTTTTTCTGCTCTCTGCTGGGAGAGTGTCCGCTAATAAATGCACTAAATATAGAGGAAGCCAGGTTGTATTCTTGATTCTAGCTTTCTCGTGTGAATTGCTGAAACATTAGTTCGATTCAGTTTTTCAGTTGATTTAGTCTTGGAGCCTTGCCTTGTTCGGATGTACGTGTAATTTTGTCTATATATGAATCAGATTGCTTAGTGATGTTTTTGATGATCTGCAGGGCCAAGGCCTTGGTAAGGCTCTTGTGGAGAAATTGATTCGGGCTCTTCTGCGGAGAGACATCGGAAACATAACTCTATTTGCAGATAGTCAAGGTATAGCAATATCAACAACCTTCATGTACAATAATTAATGTTATTGATGTTCGATATGATCAAGTCGTAGTGCAACATGTCAAAGTGGGCTGGTCTGTCTGTGTCTGGCGTCAATTCAAAGTTATTCTGTGGTTTGCTAATGGCCCTCTACTGCTGCAGGATTTTCATTCCGCTTCCGTTCCCTTGTTACTTCAATTCTGACCAGTGTTATTACTTGTAGTGTAAATAGTTCTTATGCTTTCTTTTATTGCATGCAGTTGTGGAATTTTACCGCAATTTAGGTTTTGAACCTGACCCAGAGGGCATAAAAGGCATGTTTTGGTACCCAAAGTACTAATTAAGTCCTTGCAAAGCCTGCTTTTGCCTATTTTCCTCTGGTTGACGTCGTGGCAACAGCTGCTTGGTCCAGGAACCCAATAGATCTGAGAATATAAAAATGCGAGATTTACCATATAAGTTCCAAGAGAGGAATGTTTTCATTAAAAAGTACAATAACAGCTGAGCAGCTTAAAAAGTTTAGTGCAAAAAAATGATAATAGATTTTAGTTGTTCACTTGTCATGATGACTTTTTGATGATTATATTTCTTTCTTGGGATTTCACACTAATTCTCCGTGAAAACATTGACATCAATGCTGTAATTATTGGTGTCCTCACGAGTACCCTGCCTAAAACCAAAAAAAAAAAAATCCCTTCTCTCTTCCGATATCTTTGCTTTTTGTCCAATAGATCAGTTGGATGTGTACCGTTGGTTGAAGCACCACGTTCATACATCGCATGTATGTTTGCGCTTTACATTAAAATAATCTGTCATTCCAATTATCATATTCAAGTTGTGGTTTCTTCAGTTGTCTTTCTTCGCCCCATAGAATTATAATCTTCCCGTTAATTGATCACTTTTGAAGGAGCATGAAAAATTATATATATATATATATATATATATTGGTTCTAAATTATAGATTTTCGTGGTTCATACACGCGTACATGTCGTCCATTAAATTCCTTGACAGCAAGGAAATTGAGAATGGGCGGAAAGAGGGTGTTTGAAGCCCAAGCTTGCTAGCAAGCCAATCTTGGCCCATGGAACTGCAAGCTAGTAGAGGTGCAAGCATTCCAGTATTTTTTTTTTTTTGGTACATAGCATTCCAATATTTATTACTTTCTTCAATGCTCATGTTTAGTTTTCACTTGCTTATAAATTTTTAAAATGGCGTACGCATAGGAGAGGTATGCATACAAAATTGCTTTGCCGCTTTCCTTATGTAGCCAACTATGTTCCTCAAGTTCTAACATTTTTCTCAGGTTAAAAAGGAAAAAGATTAGAAACAATAATTGGGTTATTTTTACCATATGTTATACTATCTCCGATTCTAATTATAAGATTTTGTTTGTAATTTATAAGTTAGGTTTTATAATTAGGATCGAAGGTATTAAAATAGAATGTTTATATTACTATTTAAGTTATATTTACTTTATTTAGTAAATTCATAAACTGTCCGGTTTTAAAATATATGCGTGGGTGGATTCAATTCTGACTAAACCAGTATTTACTCAAGGATAATTGTATGTTGTATTGTCTAGAGTTGGATCAATAGATGATTTAAAGATTATTATTGATGAGAGTGGAGGAAAAATGAAGAATACCATGACTAATGTTTATAAGGAGATTTTTCGTAATTTGTTATGATTTATAATATTTTGTTAGGGTTTATTTGTGAGATGGATTGTAGTGCACGGATTATATTTGGGATTTTGTCTTTTTGTTTTTTTTGTTTTTTTTCAATTCGTATGGGAACATGACATCATTACATTGTGATGCAATTAATTTTTTGCTCCCTCCACCAAATCCGGTGACCGGTGGAGCTCGTGGTAGTTAAGATATTCCTTTGATTATATTTTTTAAGAGAGAAATTTTTTTCTTGCTATTTATAATTTATATCATTAAATTTTTCATATGAATATAATTTTATTCTTCTGAATAATTTTACTATTCATTTATTACTGTGTAAACTCTGTGCTTTAGGATAAAGTACGTATTAAATATAAGTAAAGTTAAGAAGTTATTAATTTTTTAGACAATGTCAATGAAATTTAAAAATTTTCCTAATTCTGGTAAAACAGGTAATTTTTTTTGGCTAGACTGGTAAAATAGGTGATGAAAAATAGAATAAGAAGAGCAATAAGAAATATATATCAGGTCAGCGAAAAAAGACAGAAAAAGTTAGGAATAGAGTTGGTGGAAGGCAGGAAGTTGGCAATTTCACCTACAAAACAATTCTTCAAACCATAGCCGGCGATGATGTTACGTAAACAACAAGACAGTGTTCGTGGGGGGACCGATGAAAGGAAGATTGAAAGAACCAACAGAAATTCGAACGACAGGTGTCACAATATGAACATCATTGTCATTATTTATTGATCTAAAAACGATAAACTGAATGGTTCTGGGGGACCCATGGATTTCAGCAAACCTCCAAAAGCGCTCTGCGTCTCCGTCTCATCTCTCCTTCCGTTCTGCATATTTCCTAACAAGCAAAGCAATACTATTTATTTTGCACCGAAAATACTAGACTTATTTCATCATAACCTTCAAAAAGTCAGTGCATGCTCAACATAAGTCGCCAAAATAAGTTTTTATCAAGTCCCATGTGAGGACGGCAGCTTCCTCTCAAGACAAACCACGAAGGATAGAACCAAACTACTAAGTTTGATTCCCATCATCACTTTGATGTCGACTGATTGCTCTGCAAATCCTCTTGCCCTTCCCTTTCCGCATCCAACAACCTCTCCTTCTTCGGAGGCTTCTCAGCAGCAACGCTCTGTGACCCTGTCAGTCTCGCCAACACGACAAACGACATGCCTCCAAGAACATTGTTCACACATCTCAGTACTATCACTGACGACTTGAATGCAAATGCAGGAAGCCCCCTTTCCAACATGAACTCTATCCCATTCAGAGTTTGGTATCTGAGATTGCTGCTCACCCCCATGTGAATTGACCATGTCAGCGCATTCAGTAGTGGTGGCGGAGCTTTGTTGGGTGTCTCAAAAGTGGGGTCCATCTTCTTCCTCATCGCGATCAACCCATTTGAAATTGCAGTCCCTGCAAGTCCAGCAACTAACCCCACGGCAGCAAACACAGTTCCTTTGTACACCAAAGTGCCCAATCGACTCACAATGTTGTAAGGCCCTGGTTCGAACATGTGGCTCTTGGGACAACTCGCGAAGATCGCTGGTAGGCTCGAGGAAGAGGATGACATTGTGGGCGCTAGCAGATACATGAGTGTGAAATTCATGATAGATCCGACCACAAGTGTTGAGAAAACGAAATCGAGCTCGTTCAATCCGAAATTAGGCCGTGAAGCCATGTCGCCAAGAACACAAGCGCTCACTCCCACCAGCTCTTCCATCAGAACCTTGAAAGGGAATTGTGGATCTGCCGCAACTCTCGACCTCCATCCATTTAGAAACAGACCCAGGATTCCAAACCCCTCAAACGACGATGATGAGTCATCAAAGTTCCCGCCTCCGCCGCCTCCGCCGCCGCGGCGTCCAGTCCCATTGCTGCCGTCGCCACCAGCGTATGAAAGCCGCAATTTTTCCGGAAAACTACGATCAGACACCTTCGGGCTATTGATGAGATATAAAGAGCGATTTTGAATGTTAAGGGATGACGCGAAAGAAAAGACTTGGCGAGTATTTTGAGCGCGACTGTCCGAAACCGAACGGTAATGCCCGGAGAGAGGAGAAAAACGCAACTGAGCCACTGCCGACATGCTATATCAAGTTGATCCTCGATCTGGAAGAGAGCAACCACAGGCAAAAATCAGATCACCGTCAAAGATTAGAACATCAAAACAAAAGCATCCATTAAGTATGGGAAGGAGAGGAAAAACAATAAAGAAGTACCGGCAGATGATAGATCAGGATTTTGCTGATCTTGCGATCTGAGATGAGGAGGAGGAGCAAACAGGACTCTGTGCGAGACTGCTAGGTCACGCACCTAACCTCGAAAGTTCAAACCCTACAGATAGTCAAAACGCAAAATGAGTGAAGACTGAGGAACATGGAATCTTATATACGAGGGCCTCCAGCTCTCGAAAGTGGAGCGAGAATGCACCATGAGCGCAGGTTTGCACGTGGCGTTTGGGCTAAGGAACTTGGACGGCAAATGGGAGAAGTAGGTGGGTAAATTCTTTCTTTCTTTCTTTCTTTCTTTCTTTTTTTTAAAATAACAGCAGTAGGTGGGCAAATCTAATCAACAAATTTATGGAAGAATGACATCTAATTTCTAAATACCTTTAAAATATGCATATCACAAAATGGTCCATTTTGTTAAAAACGGTCCAAGAGACGGCATAATTATCAAGTACCAAGAGCCTTAAATGAAATTAAAAATTTGTGCACATTCACACAGATGTTCTTCGCTCCCGTTATAGTTAGGAGGGGGTTAGGATCGTGAGGGGCAGGACCGCGGCGAAGATGGCAGATCTCGAGAGTCACTGTTTTGTCCGGTACGCCATTCTTGCTGCTCAGGTCGCCAACAATGCCGCCCTCCTTACCAGGAACCGTGACGATAACGACGACGACCCAATACAATAAGGAGAACTCTCTCCCTGATTTCCCCCTTTTGCCTCAATAATGAAATTGAGAGACTAAAGGAGAGACGCAGATACACAAAGAAACAGGTGGCGGCTCTGCATGCTAATCCTTTTAACGTCGGATTCGGGTTAATTCATGGTCACCAAGATGGGCGCCAACTTTATTCAACTTTCTTTTCTTTTTCAGGGGTGAATCAGAACATTTTTCTAAGGTTTTCACTTTGGAGAATGGAGATAAAATTTTAAGGACTGAATTCTCCTTTCACCAAATCTTTTGGTGACTTTGGCTAACGTCTTCTTTGTTTGGTCAATTTGAATCGGATCAAGACCGATAAAATTTTTCAGGAAAAAAGAGGGATTAAACTAGAATAAAATTAAGTTGGGATATTAACCCGCCCACTTTTATTTTTTATATTAAAATATTTTTTAAATATGGGTGTATTTTATTATATTCATAGATGTAGTTTAATCAATGCGTTGATTTTATAATTATTAGGAATACTTTTTATGATTTTAATGTTTCATTTTTCTTTACAATTATGAGTTGACTTTTCACCGTCATAGTCTTAATTTTCATGTAAAATGAATTATATGCTTCAAATTAATGAATAAAATTAGCATGGCACCATATTCTTCATATTTAACACCAAATATAAGGATCTCTGGAAGTATGGCATATTGAACCACCCGCTTGGTTTGGTTGGTTGCAGTACAAGGATACACCGGCATATTATTAAACAAAGAATAGATTTTAATGTGGCCCTAAAATCTCAAAAAAGTCATTTAATTTTAAAGGAAAGGAGAAGATTGCAGATTGTGACTGTAAATAACAGTGCTCAGATCAGTCAGACAGTTCCATGTCAATGCTCCGTGTAGCATGCTTGAACAGAGCAAGGCTTCTTGCCACCTTTCGAATTGTGCTCAGAGGGGTTTATTTGATCAAGCCTTGTCTTCAAATATGGTAGATTGAAAACGAAACCAGAAGCCAGTGGCATAGTTTGGTTTGACTGCAAGATTTTCCCAGCCTCAAATGAGCATGCTACATATTCTTGATCACTTCTTATGTGTTGCATCCTCAGATTTTGCGTCTGGATTTTATCTTGCTTGAAACTTGAAGTTTGAAATTCCCATTTGTTTTTAAACCTCAATTTCGATGCTGTATGAGAATGCTCTATAATTGATGATTTTGACATCTGTTCTTTGATATCTGACTTGGATTGGCCTAATAACATTGTCTCAGACTCGCCTCCTATTCCTTTGGACCCATCAGCCAAACAATCTAATTTAGCAACATAAGCTCTTGAGTGATCTAAATCAGACCAATAACTCTTGTCACATTCAATAGGCATACTTTGACTTGCCTGAATATTATCTTTTAAGGGACTGTGAGCTTTCCCTTGGCCAGCATTTAGTGCCATTTCCACTTGATCATGATCAATACCATCGTTGATATAAACTACTTTATTTCCACCAGCAATCTCCAAATTAATACTGTTAACACATGTATTTATTGTATTAAGTTTCAACGGGGCCGTTGCAGATCCTGTATAAATTTCATATCCAAATAACTTTCTCCTCACTGTGTTTTTGACTTCTTGTCCTAAATCTTTGACAAACAACATCAAGCTTTCTATGTACCCAATATCTTCCTGATTAACCTATAAAAGGGAGAAGAGAGGAGGAAAAAATAATTATGGCAAGTTTATGCTACACTACTACTGAATTAACATATACGATAAGAGAGAGAGAGAGACAGACTTGCTCGAGGAGTTTCAATTGCCCATAAATCGTTTGAAAAATTGATTCGCTCTCACTGGGGGACATGTAAGGTCTGTACGTACATCGCCTATCAACTTCAAAAGATTTATATCTCCCGCTATTTCTAGAACCTGAAAATATGCATCAATGATATAAGGAATCTGATTAAAAATATTTTGAGCTTTTTGCCACCACATAGGATCAACCAGAAAAGTGGCCTTCACATAGTGATCAACCAGAAAAGTGGCCTTCAGTTTGAATATTAGAGGGAACATAATAAAATATAACACACTATCCTAGTTATTCCTTCTCACCCATTGGATTCTCAAGAACTCTGGCATCGACATGTTTAGCAATGTCAGACCGGCCATGATTTGACTTGAAGTTTTCCCTGTATGGTGTAGCATTGGACGAACCTGCTATGTATTTTGAGGACATACTAACAGACGATTCACTTAATTTTACATTTCTTGAGTCTTTGAAATCTTTTTGGTTTCTCATCCTACCATCCCTTTGTATTGTCTCTGAGAATTCCCTTTCAAAATTATCAGGATTGACTTTTAAAAGATTGAAAACCTTCTTAGCGAGCTCATTTATAGTTCGAGCCTGCAAAATGAAAGGGTTGACAAATAATTCCCTATATCATAGCACGAGACGTAATAAATTCACCAGGATCACATGCCATACCTGCCTGAAATATATCGTCCTAGAAGCATTAAAATGCATTGCATTGTTGAATATTAGAAAAAAATCATCAATGTTTCAACCTTGTAATACATTATGAGAGCATTAATGGTCAACAGCCAAGGCTTTCATGGTATATTCTGGAAACATATAAGGTTTAGAAGTAGATGCAAATTGTTTAGACTTTGTACAAAAGCAGGAAGAAAACCGATGATGTGCAACCAATGATAGATTATGATCCCACACCTCTTTTGGATCCACTGGTTCAGCAAATATTTCATAAGTGTCTCTCCTGTATAATATAAAATATCATTAAGTACTGAGTTTACATTATACAAAACAGAGCAGACAGTTAGTTTTCGAAATACACCTCTGCAAAATATTAAGGATAAGTTCAAGTATGTGTTTCTCAGGCATGGAGATTGCAGAGGTTAACTCCGATGGTTGACCTGATACAAATGATAAATGCATTAGAAGTCAATCTAATAACCATTTAGTGTTATAATTAGAATTCTGAGGCCAAGGGTTATTGTATAAATTTCTTCATTTCCATGGCCACCTCAAATTTAGTGTGCAAATGAGAAGGATTAAACATCATAGCTTGATTTAATGTCAACATAAGTGGGTTAAAAGATCAAATTTTCAGAGATGGCAAAATCCTTACCATCTTTCCTTTGAATATCTTCATCACATGGTTTCTTCTCCTGCAAATAGTTTGAATAGGTGGTAAAACCATCGCAGCCAAAGATGATGATCATGGCATCAATAACCCGCACAACTCATAATGTAAAGGTTTCTGATCAGACTCACGAAGAACTAAGCCACTTCTTTGGGCAAGTATTGTCAAGGACAACGCGTAGTCCAAAGAATAGCCTATGCATCAAGATTTTCAAGCAGTAAAGTAGTTTTTTTGGCCAAAAGAGGATTCCAGCTAACATCGTTGTATCCTTTGTTTACTTGTCCCAGTTAAAGTCTTATAGTAGACCTCACTCACCCAAATGTACGAAAAGAGGAAAAATTGCAAAAACAAAAACAAAATAGTATCTAAAACGGGGCAAAATGCAGAAGACCATCCATAGGCTTCTCATTCATCCAAAAAAAAAGGTTAAAAAGCAAAAACCTCCTTAGCTGGAGATATAGTCAACTCATCGACTAGCCTCAGTTTCCTCTTCTTTCCACCCCGCGTCCGAGATGCTGGTCCCAGATAGTTCTCCAGGTGGCACGCTATTTTGTCAGTGCAAGTGGTACTTCCACTTTTGCCAAAGTGAACAACCGGCTCACCGGATGATCCATGGATCAGCCAGGCTTCCATTGTACATATTCTCAGGCTCCTCCTCTGCCCCTCTTTCAATGTCGCTCTTTGTAATTCTCTACCATATAGCAACAGACGCTACAATTTATCCCACAAAATGGCAAAAAATGGAGAATGACATACATCAACACCAAACCTACCTAGCCATTAATGCAAAGGCGAAACCGCCAATTTCTAGCTATGGGATTGATGATGATCTCAAGGCTTTATAAAATTGAGGGGAATGCCGAGTATAGTGACAAACGTTAATGGAGTTTACTTGTTACGGCTTGGAAATATATGCTTACTGCATTTGAGAGATATGAAAGAGCCGAAACAGGCATTAACATTAACATCTCAAAAGGGGTTAAATATGCGTCCCATTCTCAGTGGTTAAGAGCCATAAATTGTACCATCAAAGGCAAGAAGAAATTATGAAGATACGGGAGAATTACTATGGAAATGATCATGTAGTGATGTGATGGCATGAAAATGTTGTCAAGGTTGGACATTGTTAGTTAGCAAAATGTTGAGGGAAAGATGAAGCAATCAATAAGGCTAAATGAAGAAAGAAACGGACAAATTTTCTGCGGGTCCCGTTAAGGACCATGAATTTAAAAAAAATACAACAGGGAAATTATTCTTTTGTTTTATCTTCTTTGATTTGATTCCAGAGCAGCATGGCTTCCATTTTGTTCTTTTTACACCTTTTTTTTTTTTTTCCGTGGGGATGGAGAAGCAAGTTAACAAGCTATTCTTAGGGTGTGTTTGGGATAGCGGTGGTAGAAGTAACTTTTTTTCAATCTGACTTTTACAGAAGTCAGATTGAGTAAAAGTCAGATAGATATGGTAATATGATTTATGTTTAGATTGGTTTTTGAAAAAAAATCAGTTTGAGAAGTTGAAACATATTTGGATGATAAATATAAAAGTAAGTTTGGATATAAAATGACTGAAAAGGACGTAAACTTTATTAAAGAATATATATTTATTTTATATGTTTATAATGTGATAATTGTCAGAGAAAAATTAAAATTAAAATTATAAAAATAAAAATAGTTATTTTTTAAAGAATAATAAATTTATTTTTTAAAATGATTTTATTATTCAAAAATAATTTTTTTAATATTAAAAACCAATTGGCTGGATTAAAAAAAAAAGAACTCACATCATGTATTCTCTCTCCTCCCTCACTCGTGGGCCCCACGAAGTGTGTAGTGGAGAAGCTGTAGGTAGGAAGGCAGAAAACCTGAAGGCAACAACAGGGAAGCTGAAGGCAGGAGCTTACGAAAAAAGTCCATTTCCTGTATAAGTCCTCCATTTATCTTCATGGTGAATCCAAACATCTCTTTTAAATAAGAAGTTACTTTTTTCAACTTTGACCAATAGAAAAGTCAGTTTGAGGACCATCATATCCCAAACACACTCTCAGTTGTCCAAACCATCTTTTTTGCCAAACCAATAACGTTGAACCTCTCTGGAGCTGGGGCTCAACCTGATTACATTTCCATCTCCTTCACTCTCTCTCCCCCCCTCCCCTCTCACTGTGAATCGGTGCATAAAGTTCATTTTTCATGCCTAAACTAATATAAGTTCTTACAACATCTTTGTTTTTTGGCCAAAACGTCCAACATCTATTCTTCCGGTCTTAAATATAACACTTTTTTTGCAGTGTAAATATAACACTTTTTTTGCAGTCTAATTTACACTGCAAAAATAGTTTTATATTTAGAACCGGAGGAGTACTTACTCTTTCGACCTAAATATAAGATACTTTTCTGATTCTAAATATAAGACTCATACACTATAAAATAGTTTTTATATTTAGAATCGAAGGGAGTAATATTTTTTAGACTAAAATATACTGAACTGTCCTCTCTAAATTATAGAAATCATATTTTTATTTTAAAAAACCTATATGTGTACTTTTTAAAATGGTGAAGGAATTGACTGGTGTTTTGTTGCTCGGTGTTACTTCGTTGTTATTTCTTGCTGTTTTAGCTTCAATAGTTTGTTTTGGTTTCGCGACTGCTGCTGAGACTTTGTATTGACTTTGTTGTGCTTTCTAATTAATAAAATCATATATTCTGATTTTAAAAAACAGTTTTTTTTTTTAAAATTTTGGAGCCGACGCAAAATATTAATCTTGATTTTTGTATATTTGGATAGGATAGCGAATTGTGAAGGAGTACGGAAGGAAAACTGAAACTTTGGTTGAATAATACTACCTTCCGTTCTAATTATAAGAGCCAATTAACTAATTTGAGGAGATTAAAGAAATAAGTTGAGTTAGTTATTTGTCCTAAATAGGTGTTGTCTTTCTTAAAATATCCTTACTAATCAAATATATTGATTAGAACTATAATTGTTAAAAAAATTATTTTAAAAAAATATATAAATATAAAAAATAAAATAAATTAAACTCTTATATTTAAAATCAAAATAAAAATTAAAGAGTTACACATAGATTGAAGATAGTATCATGAATAGCTAGTCTGCTTTCAGAAGGGCGGGCAGTGCGGACATGACGAGATCAAGGGCTTGTTTGGATTGACTTACAAGTCCTCGGGTGACGATCTGGTAGTAGGGCACGTCCCTCCTCCTTCTTTTCATTCTCAGTTCTCTTCGTCTAAGATTTCATCGAATCTCAAAGGGGAATTCATCTTACATACCGAGTCCTCTGTTAAGTCTTAATGCCCCTAATCTGACCCTCGTTTCGCTGTACTTTCTGGGTTTAACTTCCGCGTGGTTGTCGTAAATCTTTCAAGATCCAAACCTATTTTGACTACTTATTCAGCTGCTCGGGTTCATTCTCTTCCTAAGGTAACGATCTCAAGATTGCGAATTTCTAACCTGGTAAAAAAAAAAAAAACCTCAATTTAACTGAAGACCTGACTTTTGAGCTTTGGTTCTTGAGAACGACTTATGCTTTACGTATCATTGTTCTCATTTTTTTTTTTTTAAATCATACTCCTATCCGATCCTTGATGAAAACACTCCATGGTCTGGGTATTCTTTTATCATTGGGTTACCTAAAAGTTGTTCTGGTTAATGTTTATATGATATTCCATGTAGCTAGATCGATACACTTCGCCTTTCAAATGCTTGTACTCTACCTCGGTGCTTTCAGTCCCCACATTTTGCATATATCATATGTTTTGTATTAACCTTCTAATATAAAGCTCTTTAATTATAAAATTTTAGTGAGCTTCTGCATCATTTTTGTTTCTGTTATTTTTCTTTCCAGCAATCAATTTGGTATTGACAATGTCTTATTATATATATACATGCCTGTAATTCGAGACAAATGACTAATTAGAAGGAGCTGAATGCTGAACGTGCAAAGTCCATTCTCCTGTGCTTGTAATGACATTTGATCTTGAAGTTAAACGTCTAATAGCATCTGTGAATTCAACTCCCGCGTTTCTATTAAGTAGTTATTTTGTGTGACTCCATGGTGTAGAACTGTAGATTGATCATAGTACTAAGGAGTATGACTCATTTGAACTAAATTTCAATGCCCTGTCACTAATCCAATCTTATTTTCCTCCACAATTATAGCCCGTTGACCATATGTTACTATCTTTAATCATCCATTGCTTGGTTTGGTTTTAGATGTCTGAAAATTCTGAGGGCACTTCATCTGCATTAAATCGGTCTAATTCTCAGGTTTTTGAGGACACTGCCCTGCTAGCTGACCACTCAGTCCGGACTGCAGTATGTGCTCTCTGCCAAAAGGCCCTATCGCCTGATATTGAGATTATAAATGATCTTGCACCTATTGGTTTATGTGGTGATTGTAAATTTTTATTACTTGAAGACGTTGGGACACATTCCCAAAACCCCCAAAGAATGCATAGGGCAGGATCCAGGAACAGCAGTTCTGAATCAATTGAGAATGGCTTGTCACGTCAGCTTCCCGGTATGGCTAATTCTGTGAGACAAAATCAATCATCTGCATCTGCACTGGATGATCAGCCTGCTGATGGCAATACGCCCTCTTGGCTATCGCAGTATGGTAGTGCCCATACTACCCCTAGTGAGTCTCGAAGATGGAGGCGGGTTTTCTCTGATACTGATAGTGATGGTTTTGATAACTGGAGTTCTCTTTATGGGGAGAATGAATCAAATGCAAGTATTAGGCGCTACAGAGTCCCCAGTGGTGAGACTGATTCCTTCTCTTTCAGTGCTTATGGAGCTGAGTCTGAGGTATCGATGGATAGATATAGTTTTGTGGGTACAGGAATCTTAAATTTACCAGATGAGGGAGATGAGTTTGATAGTGACACTGATATAGATCCAATGCATGCTGGCCTTAGCCATTGGAATTCTGATGATATGGAAGAAGAGGATGAGGATGAGGAAGAGGAAAGGGAATGGGAAGTAGCTGAGGCTGAGGAAGCGGAAGCCACTGCCCGCCTTCAAATATTTTTTACCTCAAGTCCAAGTGAGAGAAGTGACCTCATTAACTGGGGCCCACAGTTTAATTTTCCTGAATCTGAGGAATTATTAAGTAGGAGAGTTAGGGATAGATGGCAAACTTACACTGATCACAGCTCCAATTACTTGGAGGAGGCACGTTCACCTCCTTATGGTGCAAATTTTGGGGATTATCTTGATGCTAGGCAATTTGAAAATCTGCTAGAGCATCTTGCTGAGAATGATAACTCAAGACGAGGAGCACCTCCTGCAGCAGTGTCTTTTGTACATAGTCTGCCCTGTATTGTTATAAGCAAAGAACATGAGAAGCATGATGAACTTGTATGTGCCATTTGCAAGGATGCCTTGTCCATAGGCGCTGAAGTAAATCAGCTTCCCTGCTCTCACCTTTATCATGCCTGCTGCATTTTGCCATGGTTGAGTGCACGGAATTCATGCCCTCTTTGTCGTTACGAGCTCCCTACAGATGATAAGGAGTATGAGGAAGGAAAGCGCAATATTGACATTAGAAGTGAGATCCATGAAGCGCAGCAGCTAAATGTGATGGATGGCAATTCTTCTGATGGAGCTGAAGCAAATGAAGAGGATGGTACTATCCAAGCTGGAGGACAGCAAAGTGAGCTTGTGAACATGGTTCCTGTAGTTAATCCTTCTGCTGGGAGGGGCGGTAGAGGAAGATGGTTTTTCTTTGCTGCTGCTCCAATTGTTAGTCTAGTGGGTATTGTTATTGTCTTATGGTTAGGCAACCCTCTAATTGAAGGTAGTAGACAATTGGGTTGCCACAATTTACAGGGGCAAAATCAGCATCAGGTTCATGTTTCTGCCTCACCCAACCATAGGGAGGATAGAAGCAGAAGATGGTGGTGTCTCTTCTAAGTATTTATTGTTCAGTATTATTTCCTTAATGGTTATTTATGGCTGATTCTGTATTCTTGTTGGGATGATCACGCATTAGCTGGTCTGCGTGGTGTTCAGTTAGCGGAGGTTAACCTGGAAATTGCAAAGGTTTTCCTTGCTTTAATTAGTGTCATGTGCTTTTCCTCCTATCAACTTTCCAGTTTCTCGCTATGCTTACAAGTTTTGTGAATAGGTATGATTTATGAATTTCAAAATGTTTTCGTGGCATGATGTTTCTCCTATTATATTTATTTCCCTACTTTCTTTTTATCTGTTCTGCTTGTTCCCGAACGCTTTATTCCGCAAATTCTCATCCAAATCATTTCGGAGTCTAAATCAAATAATAACAAACACAACTAGCATTGATCCAACAACACTGCTTGGACCTCCTCCTCTTTTCTCAGTAACACCTTTGGACTCTTTCTGCGCCTACTTGAATTTTAGTGCCATGTGACAACCACCGTTTATACGTTTTGCTCATTTATTTTTGACAGGCACAGTTACCCTCTACAATCAAGTATTAAATGTGAGTACTTAATAGGATATGAATTTTGGTTTATCACATTGTGAAGAGTTAGCTCGTTCTACTAAATCTAACCTTTGTTAGTATATATTTTGTTCATTAATCTCAAATAAATAAATTCAGAAGTAGGCATGTATGAGCCGTATGCAACAACCACCGTCTACAGCCTCTAATTGAAGAACTAGAGAAGACCGATGTCAAAAGCCAACATGCTCTTGTTCAAAGATTCCTCCGTAACTTTTTTCCTAGTAGATATGACAAATTCATGCAGTGGCTTACGAAGCAGGTTGAACAAAGCACATAAAACTTGCAAGTTTCAATCATTGTTAATCTAATTTTTCTTGCATACATAAAATTTGCTCATTAAGAACACCTCCCATTGTTGTAGAGCAGCTTGTTGCTGCAAATTCGCAGAACAAAAATCAAAACCTCCACCGAAGTAGACTGAGAATATGGAGATTTGAAGAAAGCTTAGCTACTTAGCAATTTGGCTTCAAGGCATGCACCTCCCTAAGAAGCAACAGAATTACGAGAGCTTTTTTTTTGGTCCAAGAATTACAAGAGCTTTATTAGCATCATTGTAACGCGCTATGATATGCTGTGGATAACTGATGACGTGGAGGAGGATGACAAGGAAGATAGGCAAATAGCACAGCAGGATCATGTACTCCGATGGGGTGAGAGAGTGAGAAGACCCATGAGGAAGCCGAGGGAGAATTTGTAAATTGTGGTGTATGAGCAGAATTTTATTTGGGATGTTTACATTTTATCAATTGTGGATCAAACTACTAATCTTACTACTAAAAACCCCAGAAATATTTTATATTTCCTCCAATCTTGTATATAAGGTGTCTTTTTTGGCCAAAAATATATATATATATATATATACATAAAATGTGTCTTTTAAAATATAAAAGCATCCAAATTATAAGGTGTTTAGTCAACATATTGATTGATGTTCCATTTTCACCCCCTTTGGATAATTTTTTAAATTTTGTCAATAGGAAAATTCTAATAAAATGATCATTGAATTTGCAAAACCCCAATCGGTAACTTAAACTTGTAAGAGGCTCATAATGACTTGGGATTTTGAAATGTTCAAAAATTTACATTATTGCCCTTTAACTTCTTTTTTTTTTTTTGTGGTAAGAGGCTCAAGCCACCCTCACCGGCCAACTAGCCCTTGGACCTCAAGGGCTGGTGGCTGCTTTCAAGTGGCCACCGGTCGTCGGAGCTCTTGCAGCCAGTCGATGATGGTTGTCAAAACTTCGATAGCTATTAACCATTTTTTGGGAGATTTTTATAACTTTAGTAACATGGTTAATAAGTTCTTTAACGTTATTAACAAGTTCAGTGTAGCAGTTAATAATAAATTTTTTAGAAAATTCAAAAAGTAATATTTTTACAATTTCAGTAATACGGTTAACAAGTTCTTTAATACTATTAACAAGTTTGGTATAACAATTAACAACATGTTTTTTTCAGGGAATTAAAAAAGTGACATCTTTACAACTTCAATAATGCAATTAATAAGTTTTGTAACACTATTAACAAATTCGGTGTAGCAGTTAACATTAGGTTTTCCAAGAAATTCAAAAAGTGGTATTTTTACAACTTCAGTAACATAATTAATAAGTTCGGTATAGTGGTTAATAACATGTTTTTCAAAAAATTAAAAAAGTGACATCTTTACAACTTCAGTAACGTGGGTAACAAGTTTTGTAATGCTATTAACAAGTTCAGTATAACAGTTATTAACTCTAATAACAAATTATGTGATAATATTAACAACTCTTATAATCATAGTAACTGCTTAATAAATGAAAAAATTTTGATGTACAGGAAGCTAATATTAAAAACATCAACTTTCATAGGGAAATTTGTTAATGGTGTTATAAGAGTTGTTAATATTGCTACATAACTTGTTAACCGTGTTATTGAAATTATAAGAATATCATTTTTTAAATTTTCCGAAAAACCTATTGTTAGCTGCTATACCGAAGTTGTTAATAGCGTTAAAGAATTTGTTAACCGCTTTACTAAAGTTATAAACTTGCCAAGTTTTGAATTTCTCGAAAACTTCTTGTTAAATACCATAAAGAACTTATTAATCGCACGACTATATTTGAAAAAATCCCAAAAATAGTTGCTGGTCACTGGAGCTCTAGAGATTGGTTATCAGTCAGCCGCGGGAGCTTAGGCGACCAACGACCCACCTGAACTCTAGTGACCGGTCAACTAGTGAGTATACTTGATGGTTTTTGAAAAAAAAAAATTAAGGAGTAATTTGGTCTTTTCAACAAATTTTAAAATCTCAATTTGGTCATGTGTACTCAAATGAGAATTTTTATTATTTAGGTGAGCAAGTGAAAATTTTCAAATTTAAGTGTAATTTTTATTTTTTATACCATTTTCCTTTTTGGCACACTTTGATGTGACCACCCTGCCTATCGCTAGCTGCCCATCATTCTCTGTTTGAGGATCTATCTGTGGAAAGGATGATTCTTATTATAATGCTTCAAAATCAACAACTAAAATGGCAGCTCTCACAATCTTTAAGAATGGGCAAAGAGGTTTCAAAGATACCAGGCGACCAAGTGAAAGTGAACAGCCCCGAGCAAATCTTCTAGAGAGCATACCTGTTGTAGCCAAACAACAGAAAAAAGAAAGAATATGAATGGAGCGTGACAAGTCGTTACTACTAGCAATGACTTCCTCTTTCATTACTTCATCCTTTCCATATCCCTCTCCCTTGTTCTCAGTTACTCATCAAATGGCACTCAGTTCATATCTTTAACATCATATGGTAAATTCCAGGCTTCCCGGACTCATAACAGACGGCTAGAAACAAGAAGAGAAGAGGGTCAGTAGTCTCTGCCGTTGCAGGTCCTTATCCTTCCGCTGAGACGGCCCTACGGTAAGGCAGAAGCTACCAACAAGACTCTCACTGCCATCCTAAAGAAGTGTTATATTCCATTTCTAAAGCTAAAGGCTGACTAAGCTGTGTCTTTAGAACAATGTCCCGATTTTGACCTCTTTTATCTCCCCATCTTCTTTTAATAGTTAGTAGTATTATTTACCCCCTTTCACCGCATTTTTATCCTTATAATTATAATAGTTTACGTATTATTTAATTAATTGGCGTAATGATATAATTGGACCATTAGAATTCTTTTTAATTTACGTGAAAAATATCTAAACCATCTTACTTAAAGTATGAAATCGGGGTAGTTGTTAAGTATTTATGTGATTTCCCAATTTTCTCAAACAAAAAAAATAAGAAATGCAAAAATAAAAACAATTAGAAAACAACTAAAAATTGTTTTGGTTTTTGAGTTTTTAAAATTAGATTTTTGTTTTGTTTTGTTTTTAGAAACACTTAATTAAAAGTAAATTACTGAACAAGTTTTTTCATTTTTTATTTTTTAAAACAAAAAATATTTTCAAAATAAAAAAGGTCTTAATATTTTATACTCTTTTAATCCTTAATGTAAGACCTAATTAATTAATTTGAGTAAACTAAAAATATTAGTTAAATTAGTTAATATGATATATTTTTTCTAAAACATTACAAGTATTTTTAATTTTCTCTCTCTATCTCTTATGTGATTATTAATAAGAGAATATCAATAAAATTAATTCAAAAAATAATAATAAACATGTAAAATGAATATTATATACATTACAGAGAGGGAGAACCAAATCAATTCTTAATCAGGTTCTCCAGCGTTTGAGTACGGAAGAGTATAATGATAACATCATCACTGAAAACTAGAGAAGTAGAGTGAAGACAAGCAATACACTATCTGCCACGTGTTACCTACAACCAGGACGATGGTCGGCTGGGCGAAACACATGATTCTTGTGCCAGCGAACAGACCAGCCTCAATAAAATTTTTACTTTCTGATGGTTACTCCTACAAATGAGTGAGGATGATGAGCTCAAATGTTGCATTTTCCAGCTTGACGGAGCAGAATATAATGGGGTCAGGTGGCGAATGCGAGTGGAATGAAGGGAAGGAAAAGGTTTTAGAAAGGGTGAAGCTGTTCCCACAACGAAAAGAACCTCCTTTATATTGGGTAATGGAATTGATCGAATGTCTCAGCTCTTTGAATGTTCGGTTGCCAAGCCCTGAGTTTGCGGAGCTATTGGTCTCTCACCTCTGCTTCGATTACAACCACCCCTCTTTGTGGAAGTTCCTTCAGCAAGCCCTTTCCTCCCGTCTCCTCTTCCCGCTCCAAGTCCTCTCACTCCTCTCTTGCAGGTTCTCCCATTTCTATTTTTATGTATTTTACTATTTTACATTGTTTGATTTTCATTTACATGTGCAAGTGAAGTTTGCTTGTGAGGGTTTAGTATAAATCTCCTAGACTCCTGTATTACACTTGTGTTTTCTTTTACTTCGTCTCTTGCAATAGTATAAGCACGTTTAAATGTACACTTCTCGTCGTTTCTAGTCATTATGCGCAAGCAATGCTGCGGCAATGCAACACCGGAAGCTTGAATAGCAGGCTTTAAACTCGAGCCTGGTTGCTATGTTCAACCAGTTGTCCAAACCTGCTCTGTGTCTCTTCAGTATTCTGCATTTTGTTAAATTATTCATTTTTGACAGAATACAATGCCACCGTGAGATTTATATAGCTGAGTCTACTTAATAAGGCTTGTTGTTGTAGTGTTCATTTCTGATGATTTTGTGAGATGCTTTGCTTTATTAATCCAACATCTTATTACAGGATAATTCCTCTTCGACATTGTCAACCAGAGGCTTATAGGCTCTTTCTTGAACTTCTCCGCCAGTATGCATTATCATTTGATCCAAATGTGGCTGATTCTTGCAAATTAAAGTAAATATCGTCTCTTTATCGTTATTCCTTTAGTGGAGGTTCGCTCTAAGATAATGTCTATTTGCCTCACGAGGTAGCAGTTCATAATTATAAATTTCTTATTTAATTTTTCTTATGTAAATGCCACGTGAAAGCTAGGAAATTGACACATGGTTCTATTTGATAGATTTTATATATCTTTACAGATGAGTCAAATATCTATTAGAGGCCGCATTTGCTAACTTTGTTGATTTTCCTTGAAAGTTGAAATTTGTTGCTTGGTAATATTAAGGTTGTAAAAACTTAGTCTTAGTACATATCAAACATGGTGGTTTAGTTGCTTTCACTTGTACTTTTCTGTTTGTTAAAATGCACATGTATGAAACAGTTTGTACCGGTCTTAAGACCTGAAAATTTTATTTCACTCGCCACATTTGTAATTCTTGCACTGGGGACCTGAATAGGCTAGAGTTGGCAAATAGACATGCTTAGTTGTTGGATGAATGACATAGTACTCTAAGAAGAGCATTTCTGGTTTGCAGGATAATAAATTCTGTTGATACTGCCCTTCAACTTTCTCGAACATACAACATTTCTGTTCTGGAGCTTGGACATGTATTTGTGCTGTTTTTTCACAGCATCGTCACTGCTTTGATTGATAGCACATTAGATGACTGGGGAATACAAATGAAGCCCTGTGAAGAACCATTCTCGAACCCCAAAAGCGACCTGTACATGGACATTGATCCCAATGTGACTCACAGTATCAAAAGAAATGAATATCGTGAACAGATAAGGAAAAGAAATTCCTTCATGGCACTAGAGGTTTTGGAAAGACTAACAGAAAGCAGAAAAGCAACAATTCTTCTACAATCTGTCCTCTTGAACATGTATCTCCTTCTACTATTTATATTTGGTCTTTTAAGGTTTTGTCTTGATAGTTCAGTCTAATGTTTTTATAAACTATTTCTCTCTCAGAAAACCATGTGATGTAGGACCAAAGCAAGGAGGAAGAAAAGGAAGAACGTATTAAACAAAATGCTGAACGAACTTTATCAATGAATGAGTGAAGTTAACTAACCCCAATTGATATGGGCTTTAGTTATATACAGCCCCAACGGTTTGTTCAAATACAAGATAACGGTAAAAAATTGAAATTGACATTGAAATTGTGAGATAATAAGAAGATACTAACTAACAACTAATCAATTAAAATACTAACAAACTATTCAAATAACATTAATCTTCCTATTTCATTTTCATCCTCCATCACCTTGCGTCTTACATATCTACTATCTGAGAAACGCTGAAGCCAAAAACAGCTTTTAGCCTGATCCATTTTGGTATAATAAGAGGAGTAAACTTTCGGATTGAGGGGGAGGATTGGATAACTATGAAAGATTCTAAGTATGCCATTACTTGTGATAAGTGATACTTTGGACCTGCATGAGAAAATGATTCAAGTTTCATTGAAAATTTCTAGAATGGTCTTATAATCAGGTGCAAAATAATACCATCTTCTGTCAAAACATGACCTGGGAGGAAGAGAAAATAGAAGTATTACTTGCAGAGATATACTGCATTCCACTGATTTTCATGTTATGTCATAATCGTAATTGAATGATGAGTTAGTAATCATGGTAATTATGGTTCAACAATGTAAATTATATGTTGGGTTGTTTTGGTCATTAGATGGTCAAACATAGGCATATGTCTGAAGACTTGTTGACCTTGATCACCAACAAAGAACAAACGAAGGAGTGAGCAAATGTAGTCTTGAATTGCTATGTAAATGCTTGAGGTTGGGGCTTTTTTAATAAATTTCTAGACAATGCTTAATTGGCTTGGTGGAGCATAAATTGTTTCATCTTTGAGATACTTGGTCTGCCGGTATTTGTTATGAAGATCTTGCCTGTGCATATTCAATAGTTCACAGTTATGATGACTTTTCTTGCCTAACCATGCATGAGGATGACCTTCTAGTGCTTGAAGTATTTTATTTAGTTTTTCCTCATGTGTTATTCGCGTGCATATCTTGTAGCCATTTATTTGCGTTTGTAATAAAATATGAGCTGGAAAGTTAACTAATCTTTTTCCTCTCGTCACTTATAATTTGTGATAGGCCTGAAAAATTCAATTGCCTCTTGCAAAGGATCCGATTTCTTGAATCCCCTGAATTGCCTTGCTCGGAATTAAAACTAGCAAACCCAGTCCTGACAAAAGTACTTTCCAACATTCATAGAGTTTCTGATTTTGAATTCCACCTAGATAAGAACCGACTGGTTGGGATTCTTGTTGATGTTGGATCATTTAATTCATTATTAAGATGCAACTACTCATCTCGTCAGTCTCCTTGCTGGGTTCCTTTTGATATATATATGGAGAATGCTATGGATTCTAAACAACTTCCTACCAAATCTGCTATTGATGTACTCACAGGCAAATCCTCTCACACAGTCTTCTGTTTATTTTTGTATGCTTCCTGTTATAGTTTGTTTCTATTGTATATTTTTAGGAAGATGATGTCTTTTCTGTTAAATATTTTTACTTCCTATTGTAAGGATTCTGTCCTTTTAATATTCGTCTCCTATTTGCAGAAGGAATCAAGACACTACATACATTTAACCAGGCTAGCTGGCAGGAAACTTTTCTAGCACTCTGGCTTTCAGCCCTCCGGCTTGTGCAGAGAGTTGAGATTGATTCTTGTTAGTATTTTGTTTACTAGGAAAAATGTGTAAAATGAATATTTTCAGCTTCATGGTTGTTGCAGGAACGTGATCCTCCTGAAGGCCCTATTCCACACCTTGAGGCGCGTCTTTCTGTACTTTTGTCTATTGTTCCCTTGGCAATTGCAAATGTTCTAAAGGATGAGGTTGAACATAATTCATCTTCTGTTCAAGTATCAATGGCATCTGAATTCAGATCTGAAATGGAGAGGAAGAGTGTTGACTCTAGGAAACATGGACTGATTTTATCTGTTCAGGTCCTCGGTCATTTTTCTAGCCTCCTATGTCCTCCCGACTTAGTTGTTGGCGCAGCTAATCATGCAGCTACAAAAGCAGCTTGCTTCATATACAATTCTGTGAATGGAGAAGATGGTTCTGGCACTGGCATCCATTCTTGTAATTATACAAGAGCAGGTTACTTTGGAAACATGATATATATACTTCTATCTGTACTAGATATGACAAATTATAATTAATATCTCGCCGCCCATGGGAGTGGATGTAGTTACTTCATGTCTTTTTGGTCCAAAATTTGAAACAGTTTGGACTAATTGGCATCTTTCAGGTGGCAACTTGAGGCACCTCATAGTTGAAGCTTGCATTGCAAGAAAATTAATGGACACATCAGTGTACTTTTGGCCTGGTTATGTGTCTACTTCTGCTGTGTCGTTGCCAGATGCAGCACCTGTTGAAAAATCTCCATGGTCAGCATTTTTGGAAGGAACTCTATTAAATGATCCCCTCATAAACTCCCTTATGGTGACCCCTGCCTCAAGGTTTGCTATGTGAAATTTATTTAGGTTCTGGTACTATAAAACTGACTGATGATTGATTCTCATTTTTCTCCTTTCCTAGTCTGGCAGAGATAGAGAAGTTGTACTATATTGCATTAAATGGATCAGAGACGGAAAGAGTTGCAGCTGCAAAGATCCTTTGCAGTGCCTCCCTTAGTTGTGGATGGTATATTCAGGTGATGTGTCTGAGCTGAGATTTTGTAATATAATGTACTCCCATGATTGTACTGTGTTTCATTCATTTACTCGGTTGTGCAAATTTTCTTATTCAAATGTTAATTTTATACTTATCATTCAGTGAGTCCTTCATATGCCCTCACTATAATTTCCCTAAAAGTCTTACAAATAGAAAGATGTTAAACTGCAGATAATTTCCGTACCATTTTATGCTTATGTGACGCATGAGGAGGATCCATTAAAATAAGTACATTATCACTGACGTCATCGTAATAATTCAGTGAGCAACTTATAATGACACTTGATAGGCTTTTCAGGAAGACATAGAATACGCTATATTAATTATTAATCCCACGAACCTCTTATGATTCCTTTATAATCAGATTCTGATGAATTTAAATATTTACAAATAGTCTTGGATATTCTGCAATAATAACATACTTGAAATTTGGAACATCAAGTAAGAAGTGGATTAAGATCATCAAGTTAAGATGGCATTTATCTCTTCCTTTTCAGCTGTGGTAATTAATATATATATATATATATATATTATCTGTTTAAACTTCCACTAACTCTTTCTCTGTTTGGGAAATAGTTCTGCACGTTTTTGCTGTATCATGTAATTCTGGATGAATGAAAGAATATTTGAGTTACTGAACTGTATCATGTAATTCTTGAATTTAATCCATCTTGTTATCCTTTAGTGTTTCTAAAGACAAATGTGTTTCCCTGGCAGGAACATGTGGTACACTATGTGGTCAAGCTTCTTCTTTTTCTTGTACCTCCTAGCCATTCTGGATCTTGGAGCCATTTGGTTGATAATATGTCTGTGCTTAGTGCTATTCTCCTTGGAGTTTCCTCTGTTGATACAGTTCATATAATTTCTTTGCATGGTCTAGTAAGTGAATCCCTTTTCTCTTTCCTTTAGTGGTTCTATGCGGCTTGTTATCCTTTTGAATTTGTGCTGTTGTGAATTACTCGGTGTTGCACCTAGCGCTTAATTTCCCATGTGGAAAATCAGATTAAAAACATGGAGTCACCACCGAAATTTTAAAGGTAAATCTTGGGAAAACATTTTTAAATAAAAGTGTGGTCTGCAAATTGAAAATAGGTTAGGGAGTCGATTTAGCATAGAGAAGGTGTTAGGCACCTCACAATATCCATTTATAAAAATAGTTACCTAATCTGATTGTGCAAAATATATTTTAAGGTTATTTTAATTGTCCTCTGAAATTCACATAAAAAATAGGAAAAAAATTGTTTATTTACAAGGCACTTAACCTAAGATAAAAGCCTAGGATACAGAGATGGGATCAAAGTCCACATAATTCAAATTAAAAATGTATCATTTGTTTTAAAAAATATTTATTTACATTTTTGAATGCTTCCATTATATTTTTTTTAAACCTTTTGATTGGTTACCTACGGAGCCGTATGTACCCACATGGCATCCAACCAGCGTGTAAAAAAAATTTTTTTTTTTTAAAAGCGTGTATTTTGCTGTAGGTTAGTGTACCCAAAGAACTGTATGGACCCACATGGTACACTATCTGCCGAAGTGCCTGCGAAGATGTAGGATCTTAAGTGGCAGCCTAGGCTCCAATCAAAAGATTAATTCTTTTATTTTAACTATCCTTGTATTTTTTTCAAAGAAAGGGAACATTTTCATGTGCAATAAAAATGAGAAGGGAAATTAAGGGGATAAAACCAACTCTATGCCTCTGATCATTAAGTCAGCGAAGGGATGTAGTGACCAAAAGACAAACCAACAATTGAATATCCAATTCAGAAGCAACGCATAGCTACGTACAGACTAAAGGAATCCACTCTCAGGCAAAATGAGAAGAGACCGAAAAGAACACGCTCAAATGATGATTATATACCTGTATATGTCATCTGCCCTCAACGTTCTTTCTCTCCTTCCTACCCTTCTATTTTTTCTCTTGTTTCTGTCTTCCTCTCTCTTGCTTTTCTCTACCTCTCTTTTGCTGCCTTTTTGCTGTTCTCTCCTCATCCCCCTTGCCTATCCTCTCCTAACTTGTATTTATATAGGGCCTAGAGTTGGGGTTTATATGAGATAAGATATTTTTAAGGATAAGATTACCGAAATCGTGGGAGAGAGATTATTTATTTTCATCTTCTAGCATAAACCTTGGATACTGACATATCATAGTCTCTTTAATCTATTGGGATATCTTGTGAAATAACTCATTGATTAATTGATTTTTATTATTTCTTAACTCTCTTAATCTCTTTTAAATTTTCTAGAGGATGAGCCCAGAAATCTTATCGATATGGAGATTTAATTTCCTCCCAATCTGTACAGAATAATCTTCAAAGATAATCCCTTTAATTTTCACTAAAAATCCTAAGCATCAAAGGGTAATCTGTAAAGATATTCGAGCAACTAGTTATTATTATTGTTATCGTCACCGTCGTCGTCATCATTTTTTTTTTTTTTGGTTTTTCATATAATTTTTTTTTATTATCACCGGACAAAATACAGTGTCGACAATCGGGACAAAAATTTTTGGGTTTACTTGGGAGCAAGTTTGATATGATTCCCTTTAAATGACATTTGTGGGTGCTTATAGGCTCTTAAAGCCACCTTTGATAATTTACCTATGGTTGATTTACTATATCTTTCATAAGCTTAATATATTTTTTGATTTCAGTCACATTTCGAGGTCAAATGTTTTAAGGATACAAAAATTCTTTGTCAGGTTCCCACAGTTGCTGCTTCTTTAATGCCCCTTTGTGAGGCATTCGGATCACTTAAACCGACATTGAATAGCACAGGAGATGAGCCCTCGACATACATGGCTTTTTCTTTAGCATTCCTTTTCCTTATTCGTCTATGGAAATTCTATAGACCCCCTCTGGACCACTGCGTTACTGGAGGAGGAGCACTTGAAGGTGAGCTCACCCTGGAGTATCTTCTGTCATTGCACAATAACCGCGTCAAGTCTTTCCAAGATGAACTGACAAGCCATAAAGATAGCTCCGAATCTGCTTTCCTTAAACCAGTATTCATTGATTCATTTCCAAAATTGCGGGCTTGGTATTGCCAATACAAGTCTTGTCTTGCTTCAGCAATATCTGGTCTGTCTACTGGAAATTCCGTTCATCAAGTTGCTAATAAGATACTAAGTATGATTTACTGGAAAATGACTAAAGGTGGAGCCTTGTCTAGTAATTCATCAACAAGCAGTAATGCGTGTAGTCCCTTTTTAAGTGTTGGTGAAGATGGTTATCAAAGACCAATTCTTCCTGCATGGGAAGTGCTGGAAGCTCTTCCTTTTGTCCTTGAAGCAATTTTGACTGCTTGTGTTCATGGGCAACTGTCATCACGGGATTTGACAACAGGTCAGTGAAGTGCTATGTGAATCAAGTTTTTCTGTTGCCATCATTTTTTTAGAAAAAAATCCGTTTCTATAAATTTGATCCTGTACTGATGCCGTGTCCCTGTAAATTTGATCATTTCTATTCTGATAATTTTTATAGTCGCCTCTGGACATCAAGGGTGTATTTGGTATCAAAAGGAGATTTCCTTTTCAAATACACAAGAAAAAGGACATCTAATATTTATGATTTTGTTATTATCACTCAATATTGCCTGGATCTTTTTATTAGCTTTTAAGTCCCTGAGTGTTTCCTTTTTACCAACATCCTCATCGTCTTTCCTTTGCTGCACCTAATATTATGCATACCAAAGGAAACACAAATCTCTGTGGTTATTCATGGTTGATATACACAAATTTTATGAACTTCTTTGAATTACCTGTTTTTAAGTGTACTAAAACAACAGCAAAGGTTTATTTCCATTGGTGATATTGAATTAGGGTAATTTGGGAGCATAAGTTTTTTCCAATCATGTATATAATGCATTAATTATGTCTCGGCAGGTTTGATTGTTGGAGCTTGACAAAAGTATGGATGAAAAGTGCATATGTTTCCGGTGTTACCTTCTTTTCACCAATGAAGCTCTTATCAGCAATTTCATTTGCAGGTCTGAGGGACCTTGTTGACTTTCTGCCAGCTTCTCTTGCTGCTATAATCGGTTACTTTTCTTCAGAAGTCACTCGTGGTGTGTGGAAACTAGTTCCAATGAATGGAATAGACTGGCCTAGTCCAGCAGCAACTCTTCAATCAGTTGAGTCAGAGATAAAAGCTATACTGGCTGCTGTTGGTGTTGATGTTCCAAACTGTTCATCTGGTAGTTTTCTGGTTCAGTGTTCTGCTGTGCTTTTTCTGTTTGTCGTCTTTAGTTTTGATGCTGATGTCAAACTGAACTTAAGCATATCTTGACTTTCCTACATAAAATAACAACAAATGCATATGCACATAGATGTGTCAGGACCTTAAACACACAAGCACCGACGAGAAGAAAGGAGAACAATGTACAATATTTAACATGGATCATTCCCTACGATAAACCTACATCCATGTTCCTTCCTCATCTTTATAACACTTGCAATTTTTTACCAGAAAAACTAACAGAAAAATCGTAAAGTTCTAACACATGCAATCATAAATGAAAAATTGTAAAACACTCCCTCTATGCAAGTTTGAATGGAAAATTATAACTCTGTCCTTGCTAATTGAATAAAGTTGAGTTTGGGATGGTCATCTTAAAACCTGGACCATCCATGAAAAATTTAGACGGCCCAGATTATATTTTATTTTGTAGTTAAAATTTAATAATTTTATTTAGAAGTATATTATAAAGTAAAGATAATCTTTTGACTGACAATATTTTCAATGAAGCTTTAACTTGAAAAAACGTCATGTGCTTATCTTTGAGGCGAGCAGTCAATCCGAGTCTAAATAAAGGACTCTAATCCCAACTACCCAAGACTCTAATTACATCCGTGTCCAATGTTATGCTTGGTTGTTATGTCCAAACCACTTGATCCCAAAACCATAAATAAGAGGTTTATGTATACGAAACTCATAATTTTTCTGAAACTCCTGATCCATGTTGGACTGGAATAAGTATGATTCAAGCAAACCTTGTCTAAAGTCCTAGACATATCTACATCATTTAAAAGTCAAATTTTATTCTTTGACATTTTGATATCTTCCCTTCTAATTTGGGACTTTAAAAAAACAGATACTCTTCACCTATCCTCCATGTTTTCCAATGTCCCAAACACAAAGAACAATTGAAACTGTATGTCAAAATCAGAAAGAACCAACCTCTTTCTAAAACGTCCTGATGTGTTGTTACTACCCACCTAGACTATCTCCTCCTTAGACCCATGACAATGGCTTTGTCATTACTTGTTGGGACCTTAATCACTAAAATTTTAAACTTTCTCCACATACAATTTTGAAAGAGAAGTTGTGAAACTCTTTCCTCATAATCACAACTATCCAAGACTCTGATCATACTCGTGCTTAATCTTATGCTTGGACCACTTGATCTCAGTTATCTAAAACCCGTTTACACCTTTTTAATAATCCCGTAATTGGATTATTTTGATGCCGAAACCACTGCACAAGGGGTTTCTTTATTGGAAACTCTGACCCATATCAAAAGGAGAAATGTCTAGAAGTGTGATGACAAGTCTTGATTTTCAAAACGAAGTAGATAGGGTTAGTGATACGTGTCAACTAGGGTAACAGCCGTTTAAGTGGTAATCACGTGGCTTATTTGTCAAGTAGGTGCTTGTAATCCCTTCTGTTACTGAGTGAGAACTGAACAAGTGACTTGTTAGGGACTCGGGAGTATAAATACCTACACGTGTACTCAGTTTTGGACTGTTAAATAAAGAAGCCACTCTCTCTCTCTTACTTCTCTTTACCAGTTAGGACTTCGGATGAGGATAAAATTTGTTCGGATAATGCTTATTCTAATCCTATATGGATTAGGAGTTTAGGAGAGCCAGCAAGGTGAGCTTCGATAAAGATATCCATATGCACATGCTCAATAAACTTTTATTTATGTTGCATCATATTAGTGCAAGGACAAGATTGCGGTGTCCGTGTTTTCTTTATCTATTCTTTTGTTATGTGAATATAATTTTATGTTTCATCAATATTTTTATTTGAAGACCAGAAATGCATTTCACCTATTTTGTCCCTGCTGCTTTATTATGTTTTAATTAAATGCCAACTGTTTATATTAGAACTCACTAAATTTGTTCAAACGGGAAAATCAATTATATCTTTAGGACTGTCTTCTTTACTGGAGAACATTCTAGATATAGTGTCTTGAGGGACAAAATGTATATTTATTGTGCCCAGGCTAACATAAATGAGGGGATTAATTCCCTTTTTTTTTATTTTGTAATTTTTTTAGCATTTTATTTAGTTTCCTAGTATGCTCTGGTGGCCAACGAAATTGAACCCTCCACTAATATATATTAAATGTGCATTATTTTTGTTTTTGTTGCTTCCTAGGAATTTCACCAGTAATGCTTCCGTTACCTATGGCAGCTCTTGTCAGTTTAACTATTACTTTTAAACTTGAAAAGAGCCAAGAGTACATCCATGCTGTTGCCGGGGCTGCTTTGGAAAATTGTGCATCAAATTGCCCTTGGCCTAGCATGCCTATAATTGGTTCTCTGTGGGCGCAAAAGGTTCGCCGCTGGCACAACTTTATTGTTGTATCATGTTCCCGTTCTGTGTTCAGACATAATAAAGACTGTGTAACCCAGCTGCTAAGAAGTTGCTTCTCCTCATTTCCTTGGAACAAAATGTGTTTCAGCCTCCAAGTTGACTGCAGAATCTAGTGTGAATGGCCTGCTGGGCAACACTAACACACCAACTGGTATTTGCCCTTCTATAGCCCCTGGATTCCTTTACCTTCGATCTTGTCGAAATATACTTGATGTGCAATATCTGAAAAATGTAATAGTGGGCCTTGTGGCCGAGTACTCTCATGAATTGGCAAGTCCTGACCGATTGAAGTCAAGTGAAGCATCGCTATCCCAAGCCACTCAGAGGGCAAAAGAGGTAGCAACTCTGGGTGCGAGTCTCTTATGCGTGGTAGGAGGGATACAGCTGGTGCAAGAACTGTATAGGGAGACTATTCCTACATGGCTTCTGACCAGGAGTCGTGTGAAGTATGATAATGAGAAGAAAGGCTCGTCCCAAATGCTAGAGGGTTATGCCATGGCATATCTGCTGATACTGTCTGGGTCAATCATATGGGGTGTTGGGGAAACGTCACAATCAGGAGCATTGTCTAGAAGGACACGTAATGTTGCAGTCCATTTGGAGTTCTTGGCTCAAGTTATGGAGGGCAAAATCTCAGTTAGTTGCAATCCAGCGACGTGGAAAACATATGTCTCCTGTTTAATGGGGCTAATGGTGACTCTTGCTCCAGCATGGATACAAGAAGTGAAAGTTGACACAATGAGGAAATTGGCATATGGATTAAGCAGATGGCGTGAATATGAAATTGCCGTTCGTCTCTTGCAAAGAAGAGGCCCCGCAGCTATGGAGCCTCTTGCTGAACTCATCAATGTAATTGACTATGAATCTAAGACGCCGTACTCATAGTTCAACGTAGGAAGGTTTTTCAATAACAGATTATGGGCAGTACCGCCATAGCATAAGTAACAATTTTTTTAATAAAAATGTTTTTGAGGACAAGTCTAAATTTGCTTGTATTAATGACAAGTTCTCATCCATTATCAAGCAACTTCTCTGTTGAATTATCTGGGCTTAAAATTTTTTTAGCCTTTTTCGGTTATGGAATCTTGATTAGACTTCTCCCAAGTGAAATGATTTATCTATGGTTCCCCCTTACATGAAGAGTATTGGGGTTGATCCGTAGGTACAAAATCTTTGAGTATTTTAAATCATCAAATATATAACCTAATCAACTTTTCTTTAGTTTTCCACGGATGTTTGGACGTTGCTTTTTACCCCTGTGCAATATTAGTTGAGATTTTTTTTTTTTTTTAAAGCTTTTGCCATCGTATTGGCGATCTGAAACAGTGAAGAAAACGTTACAGGGCAGCAGACATAACGACATTAGATGCCGTCTTATCTATTTTAACAACTGGTGACAATTTGCAGATTAAGACGTCGGCAGAATCAAACTAGGGAGAATAAAGGACCGCCTAAAAAGGGAACCGGCTTCCTCCTCTCCCCAAAACTACGCCGTTTTTGTGTAAAAGTAGGGGCTGACCATTTTTTCCCCGCCCCCCTCCAACTCAACATTCATCACTACGAAATAGTTTTTTCAGTTGTATGTATCCAGTGTCCCAAAATAATATTTAGTGCGCTTAACACTCTAAAATATTTCTTTAGTGGCATCTGATATCTAGCTAGCTACATCCTAAAATATTTCCAAAGCTAATTTTAGGATAATGGATTTTACTAGAAAAGTAATGCTCCTCCAATCCTTAATGTAACAATTAATTAACTAATTTGAGTATATTAAAAATATTAGTTAAATTATGATTTAGAGGGCTAACATTTGAAAATGATAGAAAAGGAAGTGAGACCTGAATCGACATTTCAAAAATATTATGAAATTACTCATATGCACTTTTATGTAATCAATGACATAAATACAACTAGAAATGACAAGTATTGAGGTATTGAACTAGAAATGACAAGTCTCGTAAATCTTTTTTTGTTCTTTATTATTTTAGTTAGTTATTTAGCTAACAAATTGTGAACTGAAAATTGCAAGTTTCATAACTTTTTTTATTGTTGATTATTTTAGTTCGCTAATTAATGAGTTGTGAAATAAAAATGATAAGTGTCGAATTAGCAGTAACAAGTATTAAATTTAAAATAACAAGTTTCATAACTTTTTTTGTCACAAAAAGGCATATAATAATTTTACAATATTTTTAAAATACTAGTTCAAACCTTACTTCCTTCTATATGATTTTCAAGTGTTAACTTCCTAAATTGGAATTTTATATATTGAGACTTCTTTGTTTTAGGGAGTTTTCTTAAATGTTTGTAGCCACTTGTCAAATAAATGCGGGAAAATTTTTTTCAATAAATAACAAATTAATGAAGTTAAAAATTAATTTTTTTCAATTTTATGCAAAATATGTGAAATAGTTTTCAGTAATTAAAAAAATAATAAGTACTTTTACATTATTAAGGGTATTGGTGTATTATAATCAATCTAAACGCCAAAATCCACTCCTTTCTGTGACATATCAAACACATGCTAATTTATTCCATCAAACTTTAATTCATTCCTATTTCTATTCTTATTCACATTCCTAATCATATTCCCATTCCAATAAATATCTTCCAGGAACCAAATGACCCCTGATGAAGAATTAAGGAATAAAATCTAGTTATTCCTAATTATTTACTAAATATACTCTTATTTTTGGATCATGTTTTTAACCCCTGAACAACACGCGGATTAATTCTAGTTAATCCTAAACAAAAATAATTAACTTTCTTGCATGTAATATGAATTGCTAAAAACAATAATATTTTCGAAGCGTTTCAGCATGCTGACAAGTGTGAGTTTATATATATATATATATATATATATATATATTATTATATATATCCATGTAGTTCTTTGGAGTATGAAATTCTCTTTCATGTCAATTTACCAACAAGACTTGGTTTTGAATCCCTTGAGACAATACATTTTACTCCTATACATTCTGATTGTGAAAAAAAAAATGAGATAGGATTAGATATAAATTTGTCCTCTCTACATTTAAATAACTCGGTCTGAGATGAATAAGTGATTTTTTTTGTCTATAATTTGCTGCTCATTTTGGTTAAAATTCTTAATAGACGTGTTAGAAACAAAACTAATTAGGGACAGAAAAAAATGAGACAACAATTTCATCCCAAAGGCGGTCTCTAAACTCCCAACACCACAATTTCATCTCAAAACAAGGTAAATTTTCCTACATATTTGTTTCGTACACCATAAAAACACTTTTAAAATCATGGTTTGGTTTCTATCCAAACACTAGTCTTAATTAATGAATAGATTTCAAGGCCAAAAAAAAATTTATTCAATAGATTAGATATGAAATTAAGTGTTTTCCTTGTTAGATTCTAATAAAATCATGAGATTGCTTTTCTTCTCTTTCCATCCTCTTCTCTCTCTGTTTTTTTTTTAAAATTATTAGATCAATATTTTGAGGGTTAAGGTACACATATATCCATAAACTTTCCTCAAATATAAGACTGATACCATAAACAAATTTAGATGTAAAAGACCTGTAAAGATTTTAAAATAGAGTAAAAATGTTCACCACAACAACAAAGCATTTCCCACTAGGTGGGGTTAGCTACATGAATCACACGATGCCATTATACTTTGTCATAATACCCAGTTCTCTTCTGATGTGTCGTTGATCAAGAGGTCTCATTCATGATCTCATTAAGTATTCTTCTCAGTTTCGTTTGCTCCTTTTAATGAGACTTCATACTGTCTGATCTACTCTCCTCACCGGGGCTTCCAATGGCCTTCTCTGTCCATATCCAAACCACCTTAAGCGATATTCAATCAATTTCTCTTGGATAGACACCATACCGACTCTTATTCTGATATTTTCATTTCGAATATTATCTTTTCTTGTATGCCACACATCCATTTCAACATTTTCATTTCTACTATTTCAACTTTGTGCTCTTGTTTTCCTTTTATCGCCCAACATTCACTACCGCATAACATAGCTGGTCTTGTAGTAGTCCTATAAAATTTTCCCTTAAGCTTTTTAGGTACCTTCTTATCGCAAATAACTTCAGTAGCCTTCTTCCACTTAAACCAACCAGCTTGTATCCTATGAGACACATCTCCATTAATTTTACTATTCTCATGTACAATAAATCCTAGGTATTTAAACTTTGATACTTGAGGAATGATTTGATCCCCCATCTTCACCTCCAATCACCATTACCTTGCCTGCCCCTAAAATTGCAAAGCATATATTCTGTTTTGTTTCTACTCAAGCAAAAACCTTTCGAATCCAAAGTCCTTCTCCATAACTCCAGTTTAGAGTTAATCTCTTCTTTTGATTCTGCTATAAGGACTATGCCATCCACGAAAAGCATGCATTTAGATTCTTTCTTGAATAAGCTCAGTTAGAATATCCAGAACAATATTAAACAAGTAAGAACTCAAAGAAGATCCCTGATGCAAGCCAATCTTAATGGGAAAGTCTTTTGTCTCACGTCCAGTGTTCTTACACTAGTAGTTACCCCCTCTCATACATCGCTTGTATGGCTTTGATATAAGCAATCGTCCAAAGTAATAAAAATGATATGTAAGTTCTTTTTTTTTTACTCCTATATCTTTTCATTAACCTCCTTAGTAAATAGATTGCTTCAGTTCTGAATCTCCTCGACAAAAATCTAAATTGGTTCTCTGAAATAAAAATTCCCAACCTCAACATATGCTCAATCACTTTTTCCCGCAACTTTATTATATGGCTTATAAGTTTTATCCTTTTATAACTTGCATAGTTTTGAATATCTCCTTTATTCTTATAAATAGGAATTAAAATGCTTTTCTTCCATTCATCCAGCATATCCTTAGAGCGTAGAATTTTATTAAAAAGCTTAGTTAATCACAATTCACCCTTCTCGCCTAAACATTTCCAAACTTTAATAGGATATATATTTAGGCCCAACGACTTTACCATTGTCCATTTTTTAAGAGTTGTTTTTAACCTCTCCAATGTAGATCCTGCAGTAAAAAGCCAACTTTTGATCATCTTCGCTAATTAGCAAGTCTTGTAAATTCTGAATCGCACATTTGCTTCCCTCATTAAACAACTTGTAAAAGTAAGCCTCACATCTGTCCTTAATATCACTATCAGTAACTAGAACTTTACCATCTTTATCCTTTATGCACTTCACTTGGTTCATATCTCTCTTTTCCTCTCCTTTTGCTTCACAATCTTGTAAATATTTCTTTCCCCTGCCTTGTTCCTAACTCCTTATAACACTCCTTATAAGCTTTAATACGTGCTTCGCTCAGCTCTCTTCGGCTCTTTTTTAGCCAAACGATATTTTTCCAATTTTCTACACTATTGCACAAATATATGGCCTTAAAACAATCTCTTTTCTATTTGACTTTCTCTTACATACTCTTATCCTACCACCAAGTCTCCTTATCCCTCTTACCATGACCTCTGGATTCTCCTAAAATTGGTTTAGCAGCCATACGAACCCTTCGTAGCCATCTCTTCCCACATAATGTTCATGTTTCTCTACGACTCCCAGATCCCTTGCTCCGAATTTGAAAAAATCGACCTCTGGATTCTCCTAAAATTGGTTTAGCAGCCATACGAACCCTTCGTAGCCATCTCTTCCCACATAATGTTCATGTTTCTCTACGACTCCCAGATCCCTTGCTCCGAATTTGAAAAAATCCTGCTTCTCACACTTTAACTGCCACCACTTGATCCTGGGATTTACCAGTTGATGATACTTTTATCTGATACCCTTAAAATGCACATCAAGAATAAGTACTCTATGTTGGGTAGTCAACTCATCCCTAGGAATCACTTTGCAATTAGTACACAGTCTTCTGTCCAGGTTCTTAATCAAAAAGAAATCAATATGTGATTTTGAGGCTTCACTCTTGTATGTGATTAAATGTTCCTCTCGCTTCTTAAAACAAGTGCTAACAACCTCTCGCTTCTTAAAACAAGTACTGACAATCTTGAGATTGTATGTAAGAGAAAAGTCAAGATGG